ATTGGCTTTGATTAGATCCAAGACTTGTTTCAGCAAAAGTGTGCTGAAGTAAATCCGAAAAAGAGGGTCCTGACGTCTGCCACAGAAATTTGATGGATGACCACTAATTTGAGGACCACCTGTTTCCCAGTTTTTGTCACGCTGCTGTCAAAAAAAGAAGCTAAACAAAAGCAGTGATCTCACTATTTGGGATTTTTGTCCCTCGTGCCATCTGCACTCATCAGAAGGACTCACAGACACAGAGAGGTGTCTCTGAAAGGAGGCATCTGTCTGCACTGCTGACTCATCTCTGTGGTGTTCTGTGATCTAAATATAATTAATGATCCGCGACGTATGACAACCTCCATCGATCAATATTTTTTAAAAAGTATGTATCTTTTAAATTAAAAATAAAAAACAGAAAAAGGTGAAGCACTGGTGTCTAACCAGGCCAGTAATAAGCTGGTTTGTTCCAACTGTGAGCACAAACTCTGGATCTTTCAGTTCGATTTTCCAAAACAGAGAAATCACAAGACACATGTTAACCTTTAAAATGAACAGGCACTTGAATATGTAACAACACAGAGGGACAAATCAGCAAAAATGGAGCAGCAGAAGCAGTGTCCTGATGGGCCTTAAATTACAGAAAATAATGACACAAAATAAATCAATCTGTTACCCCGGTGACAACAGCCTCATGCTCAACCGGATTATCTATGATGGGCTTTTTCGGAAAGAAATGTCAAATTGCATTTTTGGTCCACCAAGGCTACAGTTTTCTCTCAGGCAGTGTTGACATGAAACAAAGCGAATAAAAAGCTTTGAAGGGAATAAAAAGCAAGTCATAACGTTGTATTTCTGTAATGGCCTAAAATGTACTTTATAACATCTAAAAAAAAGCATCTACACCTAACTATATAAATAAATATTTTCCATGTGGAGGAGATATATTCATTTCAAAGGGAAAGGAAGATACTGCAACTAGGAAGGCTGTAAAAAATAACAAAAAAACATTGCAATGATATTCTTAAAAACATTGTGTAACACCTGTTTTTATATTTTGGTCAAGAGATTCAGAAATAAGAAAAAATCTGTTACTGCAAAAGTTTTTAATACCTTTTTGTGATATAGCAACATTCCTTACTGTCCACAGTAACATTTTTTCAAGGTTGGGTTGCAATAAATCAAGTCTGGCTGGCCATGTAATGTTCCCACTAACAATAACAATGTCTCACTGAAAGGGATGTAATGAAGGGTGGAAAAATTTTACACTCATTTCTCCAATTATCCAAAAAAAAAACAATAATACTACAGCATTGTCAGTAAATATGATGAAAACCACAAACAAGGGTGAAACAAAGAAAAAAATGCAGACGTGACATAATGACGGCACCAAATCTCATGAACTCAGTCTTGTAACGGAACAAAACAATAGAGATGTCTCTCTTAATGCTGCAGAGAGAAACCTATCTGGGTGCAGGAGTAATGTCATAGGGGCCTTACTTATCTCCTCCCAGATTAAGTCTCAATTGTTCGCAAGGAACAAAGGCAGCTAGTGAGGAAACCACCCCCCTAAGGGCCAGATGGTCAGCGTCCAGAGACCCCCTGCCCCCTTCAGCCCTTGCCCTCTGTGACAGGGCTGCGCGTGCTCTCGCTGAGGCGGGCCACCCAGTTAATTCTCAGAATGCACTAATGAATGAACGTGCACTCTCAGTACCAGCATTAGGACCTCAGAGGATGCCTCTTCTAACCATTTGCACGCAGCGTTTGAAGGCAAGACTCAAATGATAATTGCATAAGCTGCAGTTCAGCAAATGGCCTTAAAATTCACTCTTTCAACTCCTCTGTGACTGGGAGGATGTTGTAATGTGCTTGCATTGCTAATTAGCCCTGGGGACATTTTGGAAGTATAAAAAGAAATGGGGACATGAGAAACAGAATTCGGATGAATTAGGATAAATCGGCTTGTTTCTAAACCACCAAATATTTATTTTGCCCATTCTTATCTGATATGACTTTATCTGAGCTGCTGAAGCATGTTTAAACACCAAGCCTTAGGCAACTGTAGTTTTCAAGAAACAAGCACTTAAATGAGTGGTCTGGCTCCAGACAACCAACGTGACATGACTACATTAACAGTGACTGATCAGCAAAGATGGAATGAAAAAACACACCTAACAGAAGGTAAACTGCTCAATGTTTGCACGATTCAATTAACTATCTGACCTAAAAGACTATTTAAGCTCCTAAAAATCGGATACATTCGTACTCTTACAGACCATTATTAATGACACGACATCAGACAATCTGAGAAAGGCGAAAGAGATTTTTTTTCCCATACAGGGAAATTCTTGCCCCCAAAGAGGTTTGTTGTCACACTTTGCTGATCCCTTCATCGCTTCATATGGTGTCCAAGTCAACCCCCCCCCCCTTCCTCCTCCTCCCTCCCCCGACACACACACACCCACACACACACACCTTCGCAAATTCCGCTCAAAATCGGAAAATGTCACATTTTCCCAGAAAATCCGTGATGAACCAAACTTTAACCATCCGTTCGTGGCACGACAGAGAGGCTGCGAGACCCTGATGCAAAACAAACGGCATCGCGCAGCCCGTTCGTGGCGTGGGAGGTTTAACAGGTGTTTACGCACGAGAGAAAAGCGAAACGGTGGTGAGCGGTCCTACCTTATCACGTCTGGAACGCGTTTGCGCGGGCCTTGTCGGTGAAGAATCGGGGGCTGTGGGCGAAGTGCGCGTCCCCTGACTACTGCGCCACCGTCACAGCTGATCCGATCTGCGCACCATCAGGGACCCGCCGAGTGACGTCCACTCAATAGGCTACTGTACGTGCCATTTGGTTAAGTACGGCGGAACTTCACTTTGTTGCCTCCGAGCCCGTTTAGAGCTTTTCACACAGCTGACCGGCAGTGCAATAAAACCTGTAGAAACCTAAACAACCCCAAATCAGGTTTGGCTTGTTCGGACAGCTGGAAGGCTCCTTTTACATTGAGCAACTTTTCGAGAGGAGAATTTGCCCAGAGGATGAAGCCTATCTGTTATCTGGCTGTCCCCATTATTCCTTCTCGGGAATGCTGATCACATTTGAGGGCACACCTTGGAGTTGTATTTTTGTAAATGTGTGTTTCCATTTAAAAAAACATTTTTTCCATTGCTCTGTTGGCAGAAGTGTATGAGATGTAAACCTGGCTGCAGCACACTCCCTGATATTGTTTTCAGCTTGTGAACCATGTTAAATGACAGTATATCAGCTAAACTTGATCTAGTAGGCAGTAGAGTCAAGATCATGGGCCTTATTCAAGTTCTTGCAGCCAAGCATTTTGGATAAATTGTAAAATACTCCCCCCTGTCGGTATTTTGCCGAAGTATCTGCGCATGACTAAGCGTGTCCTCTTTACGCGGAAGTGCACGCTCATCAGAGTTGGGTCCACATTTGCCCTTTGATTTCACCCACGCAAACGCATAAAAACCTCTCAACATAATTTTTTTATTGTTTTGGTGTTGATGAAGATCTGTCTGTGAGGTTTTGCAAAGTCACTCGTTGTGTAGTCCACGTCCCAAGTGCAAGCGATAACATGTTTGCAGATATTACCCCATTGATACAAAGAAAGAGTTAAAGATGATGGCCTGTGGCTCATGGGTTGTACTTCATGATTGGCCTTGGGCTAGCACTTGTAAATAAGTTGACTGTCAGCATCCCTGTAACTTCTCTGTGATGTGTGGTGTGTTTTTATACATCAAATGTCTTATTCAAATGCAACTTTGATTTAATTTAGATTTTGTCTTGTAAATGTTTATCTGTAAATGTTTAAATCTGTATCCTGTTTTAAGATACTTCTGGCAAAAATGAAGTATCCCTTATCTATCATACAAAGTATGTTTGAAAAAAAGTATAGTTGTATCAGATCTTGTGTCTTGTGAGGAGTATGGATTTGCTTTCCACAAGTACAAACCTTTAATATGAATTATGAAAGACTTTTCTGGTTTCCTCTCCATGATAACCTGTTTTTAAACATCCTGTGCTGTATTTTACACATAATATTGGTTAATATCCATCTAAGCATACATATTAAGGTTTTTACCTTTATTGAAACTGAAGGGGTATACAGATTTAGTTAGATGTGAAAGCTCACATAACTTCCCACCATTAATTATTTTAGTTTGGAGTTCATCTCATGCTTCACATTCACAACTGGCACTATCCTGATATGATTATACTCTCAAACACTTTTGAAATGCTTTTCCCCCCCTTCCCTTTGTGGTTCTTCGTATGAAATAAATAATTTTTTACTGTGTTACACAAAAAATAGATCAGATTAGATTAAACTTTACTGTCATTATACATCATATAAAATTAGCAAAGGTCATCTCACTCATTAGGAAGTTCATGCAGCATAGATGGTGTGGCATGTAAGAGGTATGTTTATGTATATTTAGTTAAGTATATGAACGGTTATTACTCATGAAAACCTTTGTACAGGTCCTTTGTATAGGTGATACCATATACACAGGTATGTGTGCAAACAAATACAACATTTTTGACTCAGTTGCTAATAACATTATCCAGATTTACATGTAAAATGTTGGTAGACTTGGAACTATAGCATGATTTACAATAAAGTAAATAGGCATCTGATGAATTAGATGCTATGAATACAGATGGGGATGAGGGTTATACAGTTTAGAAATAATAAGCAGTAGCTACTTAGTTTCTCTAAACTAGTGCAATATTTGGTACATAGCATTGTTTAAACAGATAGTTTAAGCCCTTTACCTCAGAAATAGGGAGAGTTTCTATCATTATTTATCATCACGTGATCTTAGAAACGATAATCTATTCATCGGCTCATTGCTTGATCTATTCATCACTTCCTGCGTGGGTTGATTTGATCTCAACGTTTACTTAAACAGGTATAAACTGCAACGTGTTGCCTGTGAAATCTTTGAATGCGTCTCATCACAGCGCATGCGCAATACTTGACATTTTGAAGTAGCTTCTCCGGGGTGTTTGAACAGGAAGGCGGACATGTTGGCCAGGCTGTGTGAGAAAATCGGGTACAGCCTGCGATTGTTTTCCGAATACTAACACACATTTTACCCGATGTATTTGTATATTCAGTCAGAGAATTATCGCACTTTTGAAGGGACACACTTGACAGCCAGTGACAGTGCCCGGGACTTTGCGGAAGGACTGCCGTGAAATGCTGGAGCGACTCCGCGTTTGAAGTGTTCGAAATTTGGAAGAAGCAGAAGTTTTTTTTCCCACCACTTCTACTTTTGAGCTGTCAGATTCATTTGTCGTATTCTGCAAGGGCCTGGCACCGCCATGGGAACGGGCCTGGACTAGACTTCCGACAAACTGCCGTTTTCGAGAAGACCTTGCATAGACGTTTTTAATTGCCTTTTGTTTGGATACACCAACGTTTTAAGTCTTTATCCTCAGTGGCATCCTACGGAGGTTAACTAATCTGCCTCCGCGTTTGTCTTCGCCACTGAAGTTGTTTGCAACTCATACAGGGAAGAACATCCGCTGTCTCCGAAAATGTTGCATGTTCAGTGCAACCTTAAAGCATTCATTGCGTGTGAAAGCTCGAGGGGAACGATGCATCTTCTCTGAAGTGCGGTGTAAAGTTCACACGAAGAAAGGAACATTTGGCTAGCTAGCTCCTGCTGGCTGCTAAAGCTAGCTAGCCAGCCTGCTGCCTCGCCAGAGAGCTGTTTTTGTTCGTAGTCCGACATCGAGACAGAGTTTGAGAGCAAAATGTCTACTGGAGACAGTATGGAGGCTCGATTTGAAAAAATCGATGCCATGTTGAAGGACCCAAAGTCAGAAGTAAACACCGATTGTCTACTGGTAAGTGTATACCTTGTTAGCTTGCTAAGTAGCTAACGTAGTCATTCGGGTTCAGACTACTCCTTGGAGCTGAAATTCTTTCCGAGAGTTTGTCTCAGTTGTCACCAAAGTAATACTGACATTCATGTCGATAGGCCAGTTTATTCAAACACGTTAGTGCAGACAACTGTGATACAGGCATGCATTAGATATGGATTTGCTTAATCAACTTTTACATGGTTTTCTTTTGGTCAACTATTATTTAGGGTTAATGTTGTGTTGTAAAATGGGTTCATGGACAAAAACGTGTTACCGGTTCCTTTGAAACCCAAGAGGACCAACATCTAAAATTTTGGTCGGTTTTATGTAAATATAGGTATCTTAGAAAACTTTTAGAAACATTTTCGTCTCGTCTCTTATTCTCATATTTTGTCAGGTTAAATTAGCTGATATATATTTATGTTATTCTGAATTTAGTTTTTTATTCATTCTTTACTTCACCCATTTAGTTATTTTTTGTCTAATTTTGATCGAGTTATATCGTTTGTGATTTAATCGAACAGTTTTGGGTTCATTTGTGTATTCTGGCGTCTCTTTGTTGTCGTGCTGCAACAGTTTTTTCTTTTATCATATTTTGTGATCATATTTTAGTTTGCATATGGTTGTTTAACAAATTGCCTTAACCACCCTGTGTGGTTTAGTTAAGCTTACCTTTGAAAATAGATTTCTGATTTTCATGTCTTTCCCAAAAGCAAGATAACTTTTTTCATTTTGCTCTCCAACTAGTAAACAGCAGGTGTCAGGAAGAACACAATTAACAATGGAAAAAAATACACTGCCATAAAGCTGCCATTGTATTTTTACCACAAATGCAGGCTCCCTTACTACTTTTGGACGTTCATAAAGTTTGACCAAATGGTTTCTATTTTTACACCAGTTGTTTGGATCACTAAGAAGTGAGTGGTTAGGTGAGTTGTTTTTGTCTGGATATTGGTTTTTAAGTTTAGTATGAAGAGGCAGACCATCTTTAAGCCTGTCATAACCTGCAGTCATCCAGCTTCAGGAGTACAGTTTTCCCGGACTGTTTCCTGGATGATAGGTGACAACTAATGCATTGTGACTCTCCTATCTGCTGCCACGTGCTAAACTCTCAATTAAACCCACAGTTGACTTTATTACTGCAATCTTTGGAGCTGACTCAATGTGGAGTAGATGCCAAGAGGAAATAGAAGTGTCAACAGTTTGTTGACATCAGGAATATTTTTTTTAGCATGGGTGATGTTACATAGCAAACGTTTCTATAGTGATCAATATTTTTTGCGCAATTGAGATTCTGAATTTTTTAAGTTATTACATAAAAAAACATGCTAAGAGTATCTATGAATTTGGGCTGTAACTTGTTTCAGATTTGCTTTTCCCCCAAAATTTACTTCTGAAATTTACGAAGAGCAAGTACTAGTTGTGGATCTAAATACACATGTCCTTTTTTACAAATGTGGTGTTTTATATTTTCTGTATCTTGATACAGGATGTATGATGTAGCGGTTTGGCATGAGCAGAAGATAATTAGGGAAAGTGCTTATGAGGGATGGGGGTTTGACCCACCATCCCACCTAAATGCTGAAGTCATAAAGTTTATGTTATGAATAAGGTGTAGTATGGCTTTCTTTTGAAAGGAAAACAAGCTTAATCTCAGTGACCTCCTGCCATGTTGCAGAAAGAGACTATTAAACTCACTTAAAGTGCACCCGCTCTGCATTTTTATTGGCAGAAACCTGTGGGTACTGTTCCTGCTGCCAGCCACACACAAGGGTGTTGTTCATCTCTTTTCCCCTTCCTACAATCTCCCCTGATCAATGAATGGGGGCCTTTTGCCGAGGCTCTCTTTGCCACCATGCAACTCCACCCACAGCTTAATAAAATTCCATGCTAATCAAATAACCTCTTGTCTTTGAGTGGCCTAGAGTTCCTTGAGTGTCCCAAAGCCACTCTGCATGTCTGGAGAGAGTTTAGACCAGGCATGCAACTCTGAGGTAGCTGGGTGTGGGCTCTGCTCTTTTCCCATAAACCAAAATTATGTGGACTGAAGAGTAAAAACTCATGTTTCTGAGGGCTGTGAATCAGGACATTTAACTCGTAAAGCAGCCAGCATGCATGGCAATGAGTAAAAGGTTCCATCAGCGAGCACAATTCAGGCATTTACTGGCGTTTTTTTTAACCTGCCATTGCATTCTGTTTGAAGTGTTTCTCTCTTTGAGTTATACTTTTCCCTACTAAGGTTTGGCTTGTGTTGGATGATAATTACCCTGTAACTTTCCCCGCTGCTCTGTGTTTGCATGTCCATTCTGTTTTCCAACCTTGTTCCGCTTATCTTCAACTTCTAAATAAATCCTACTTGGAGCGCAGAGAAGCTTTATCTGGATGCCCCATTACCTCCATCCAGTTGCTGTACTCTGGACTGGTTTCTAGAGAGATGATGTGAGTAGACAGAATTCTCTGATGTACTTGGCACAGGGAGGTGGTGGTTTTGTTCTATTTGAGTGAAAGTATTCAGATCCAGAATTGTAAAGTTTGATCATCTGGCAAATGAGAAACTGTTAAGTTGATGTGTTGCAACCTGTTTGCCAGCATCCTGGCATTGCCTTTACTGTTACTTTTATTCTTTTGAAGGTGAGCCTGTATGTGATTGATCCCTCTTTCATCTGTTATTTTGACTTTAAATCTGTAATAAGAGTAATAGCAGGAAATGACAGGGCCAGTAAACCTGATTTTCCCTCAGTGATTGCATGAGGAAGGCAAACGGTGCCTATTAGATGGAATACGAGTAGAAGTTTAAATTGCTCAAGTCGGCAACAATTTGAATGGTTCCTTGCAGTTTCGTCTTGGTAATTAAAATACACTTTTGTTTTTTTTCTCAGCAAAGTGTCCTGCTATGAAGTAGTGCTCATATGAGAATTAACATCTGAAGAAACTTTATAGGATATATAAATCTGGTTAAAAAATGCTGAAAAAAGATGGAACTAATTCTTGGGTTTTGTGATGGTATTTTAAAGGGATGCCTCCTAATTTTCCTATATAGTTGATGTTCAGACCTCATTTGCATAATAGTCAAAGTACGGGGAAGACCTGCTCTTGCCTCAGTAACCTTTGCCTTGAATTTGTAGACCTAACCCTAAAGATGTTGTCTGCACTGATAATGTGGTTGTGTCTGGATGGTTTTGGGCTTGAAGAGAAATACACTATTTTTGATGATTTGCAAGTATTCTGAAATATAACTTGTTTCACTCACAAAGCTAATTAAAGTTTGGTGTTGTGTGTTTAATCTTTTATTTGTTGAGATTATTTCAGTCCACTTGTCGTCTTCTGCTTCACTTTGTGATTGTGCCATATGTTGAACCATAACAAAGAGCGTTCTCTGCAAAATGACCTTTTAATGTTAAAACAAGGCTCAGCACTCAAGCTGTCACATGGGTCTTTATAGGTAGCTCACATGATACAAATAGAGTCAGAAGTCAAATATTAAACATGATGCCCAGTACCTCATTTTACTCTACAGTGTTATCTTCCTCTGACAGAGCAAAACTGATATCTGACATTAAAAATGTTTGGAATGCTGTTGTTACACTTTGTGAGGATTAATTAAACTATATTTAATTTGCACTATCAGACTAACAGATGTTAAACCACTAGACTGGACATGGGATTTAAAAAAAAAAAAAAAAAAAGGATTATAGAATTTGATGTTCCCCTATTGTAGGAACCATCCAGAGTTGTCAGTTGTAAACTGCTCTCCTCAGCTCTTCAGTTATGGGAACAACAATTGGCTGAGCTATTTGTAGCTCTGAATTCCCTCAACTGACTGATTATGTCCAGGAATGCAGACTAAAATGATCTGGTCTTTTACTAACCTGGTCCTTTTTCCTTCTTTTTTTGTTACTGTTTAGTCTAAAGGCTTTGTGAATTTCTTTTGTCCATTTTCCAAGATGTTCCAATCCCAGTTAGCTTGTCCCATTGTGAGAGAGCTCCTGACATATCTGCTGAAGATGGTTGAAACTTACTGAGTCCATGTTTGATAAGCTGATTGCTTGTTTGGGTGAGATAAAAATGATAGGCAACAGAGGAAAGCAGAGTATTCTTTGACAATTCAGAGCTCAGTCAGTGGAAACACATGAGTGTTGGGGTAAGTCATTTATATTTTCACATGAAAGGCTTTGTGACAGTGATTCTCGCTCACTTGGAACTCATAAGAAAATGGAATGTCCCTGTGGAGCCACCGCTGGTTTCTCTGTCACTGCCATTTATCCTGCAGAGCTGCTCGATATGCAGTCTGTCCTGATTAATGGGATTTGCTGTCAGTAAATATTATATAAAACAGGATAGTGTAAGAGTACTTTGGACATAAAATCAAAATAACTTGGGCCACACAAATTAGATGAACCTGCACTTGGATTTGAGTTTTTCTCCGACTGCCTGAGACTGAGCGGTGAGGAAGTAATGTGGTATTTCATGCTTTGAATGGCTTCATTGGTTTGTATGATCACATTTGTGTTTACATGGGCTCTGCCAACGGTGGGACTGCCTTTATTTGCATGGCAGACTGAATGGCTGTCTGCACAATTGTTCACATGTGGAAATCATATTGTCTTGACGAGGTGGCAAAAAAGGAAGCAAGAAGTTGGGCTCGACTTGGGCCGGTCGGCATGCCTTGTGCGAGCATGCAGAAAGGGATGATGTGGCTGAGACTCTCATGGAAACTTTAACTCAGACGTTAATGTCTGGAAAAGAGCTTGTGTGTATTTTTCTCCTAGAGAAGTTAAGGAGTAGAAGAAATAATTGCCATATGTAATATCAACCACTGGCATAATGTTTTGTACAACTACTTTTTTTCAGTGCTACCACACTTTCTTTGATATGATGGTTAAATGGGCTTTGCTATTATTTGCTAATCTCAGGGATGTATCATCTTGATGGGCAGAATGAGCAAAACAGGGTGCCCCGCAAACCCTACTTTGTTTATTTGATTTATTTATTTTTGGGGAATTTTAAATTTTTTTGTCTTTCTTTTCACCAGTGTACCACAGAATGAAACTTGCTCCTGTTGCATTACGTGAAACTTGTGTATGATTTGACTCCTTTTGTTAAGGCCAACTATCTATTTTAAGCTGCAAATAAACTCAGTGACTGAATTTAATATAGTTACACATTTTTTTGTGATCATATGCTCATACTTACACTAACTTTGTTTTGCGTTACTTATTTTTGTGCTACACACTCTCATTTTCTCCCCCTTTGCCTGAAAATAAAAGAAACAAATGAGCCCCTTAAAAATTTTGTATCTTTAAGAAATTATGGACCAGCATGAATAAAAACACTTTGCCATCAAAATATGACTGAATTCCTGGCTAGGAAAAAGCTTTGACAGTGATCTTTAACTCTGAGCCTTACACTTATCCAGGCCTTGAGCAGATCTTGGTTTTATCCATGTTAGGATTACTTGGCGCTTAGAGCATATTGACATCTGAAATCAGTCCAGCATTAATGTCTTTGGAGGTTAACCCTCACCCACACTATTGCCCCGAAGTCATCATTGGTATCGGTGCTTAAAGTCATGGCCAGCAGTATGGTCACCTTCAATATGTGTGTATGGGACTCTGAACCCCACATCTGGCCCCTTTTGCCCCAGTTTTGGGTGTTGGTGACAGAGCTAACAAGGCTGCCCTGTTTTAAAGTTCGGAGAAACTGTCTTAGTCATGGAAACAAAAGTAAAGTGTGTGCACCAACATTGCTGTCCTATGTGCTGGTTGGCGTTTTGACCCCTCCCCATATATATATATATATATATATATATATATATATATATATATATATATATGAATCTTTAGTAAATTCAACATGTGTTGTATATGTATCACTGTTTTTCCCCCTTGTAATGTGTTCGTCTCCGTAGTCTCTCATTCACAGCATCTAAACATTTCTGTCATGCACTGAGATTTTTCTTTGTTTTTTCCTTTATTTGTTCTCTCATTGGATCGGCCAGCTCCATATGTGCCAGCCACTCCCTCCGCCTTCCGTCAGTGTTAAACACTGGTGCTAATTGAAAATAAGGCTCGCTAAGTGGCTCTGTACTTTGGAAGATTTTATTTTTTTTCCTTTCTCTTCCTTCACTTTTTTTGTTGAGAACTTGTTTGGCCACATACCTAAAATAGCTCTCTGACGTGTACAGTCCTGTTTGGAATGTTACTGTGGCTGTCCAGAGTTTTCTGTGGCAGGAAGTTATGCAAACGTGCATTGCTGTGCACAGAGCCTTGTGATTTGGGTCCTGAAAGACTCAGTTCTTTAGGATTTTTTATTTATTTATTTTGCCAGTGTAGGCTGGTTGAGCACTGTATGGCCAACAATGTCCCCTTCTCTCGGAAGTTATGGTCAGTCCTGTGGAGAGACGTTTTCACGTTTTTGTTAGCTGAGCTAAAGATGGCCAGTGTCTTGATAACAGCCTTGCCATTCAATGTCTGGGGCTTTTTTTCCCTTTTTTTTTTAACCAACCATTCTCCAGCCCTTATTTCTACTTTTGCCTCTCCCACCTACCTTTTCCCTGCCCTTTCCCTGATCCACCCTTCCTGCAGGGCACTTGTTGGTGTTATGTCTCATGCTCAGGGGTGTGGCTGTGACCTCCACTGTTGAGCAGAAGCAGCGCAGTTACTTAAGAGGATTCCTTGCTTTGTCTGAGCTGCTGATTCACTGTGTGTCATCACTGCTCTGCTCAGAGATGCAAAAACAAATGTGCTTTTAACATGTTCAGAACGCTGGAATGACAAGATTCTTCCTACAACAGTGAGTTCAGAGAAGAGGCGCACTCTGCCGTCTTATGCATTTAAATCGCACCACCACTTTTAAATTTTAAAGGCAAAAGTGCTGCTAAACTAAATCGTGACAGGGTCACAAGATGTGCATTTGTAACATCTGGTTCATACGTGTTGGTGATGGAACAAATAAATGTGTGTTCAAGTGTTTGTGTGCCTGTTTAGTTTCAGCCACTCTGGATTATGGCAGATTAGATTAAACCTTGCCTGTAGCTCCGAGGCTTCCGTCTAGCCTGGGGACAGATAACTTCCATGTAGGCAGCTTTCGAAATTTAAATGTGTTAACTCCCACATAGTTTTGAATTATTTCATGGAGTAAACTTTGGAGTCTTCTCAGCCTGAGGTACCTAACATTAATGGCTTAAGATGTCTGCATTCAGCCTTTTAGACACAGCCCCGTTTGCGTTAACATTCCTCACGGCTCCATCCTATGGTGTGACGAAGGAAACCACAGAACACGGGCATTATTTTCCATTCTCTCAGGAGTGGATTGTACACCCGCTGAGGTGTGATGCAGAAGTCCACCTGAAGTGACAGTTGTCTGAAAACACTTTGAGCTGCTGCCTCTCATCTGTCTGTTGCGCTGGTTTCAGACTGCTGTGGCACTGGAGCCAAAAGCCTGTGGAGATCAATGGAATTTAACCCATTTGTTTAGCTAAGGGGCTAAAATCTGATGAAAATGAACCCAGACACTCCACCCAATAATGGTCAAGTAAACCATTGTTTATGGAAATGTGGACAGCCCTGTAATGCACTTGTCTATTTACTGATGAGTTCTGTTAGATTCTTAAAGCTTATACTTAAATCCAACTTAATCCACCCTTCATGGGTAATGTGTTTGCACACTGTTTAGACTTGTGGTGTTTAAACGGATCTTTAAGTGTTGCTGCGTACGACTTAGTAAATTTACCGTAGTAAGTCTTTATGGAATAACACCATGATGGATATTCTTAGTATTTAATTTTTTATTGGTTATTAGTTATAAACACAAAGGAAGGAGTGCATGTCCTGCTTACTTTCTATGATATTCAGGCCCCTTCAGCAGGGACGCTTAAGATGTCAGGAGCTGTTGTGTTGGGAATAACTTTAAAACATCAATTTAAACGAGATCAATACAATTAATTAGATTATTTTTTTTACAGTGGGTACAAAAACTAAACTAATTTTGACCTGACTTTTTACAGACATTGTTTTGCCAACATTTACTACCACTTTAAGTAACATAAGACTACTGCAGAAGCATAGATTTTACATCTGTAGGAAGTTGATTTTTTTTTCCCTGGACACAGACTTCATAGATGGATACAACAAAGGGCCCTTTGTTGCTATTCCTTCTTCATATCTGTTTTGGTATATAAGTCCTGATAAACTCTTATGCATAATTGAATTTCCTCAGGTCAATTTATATGCCACAGCTTGTTAGAATTCTGCTTTTAGACATCCAGTCCACTTTAGCTGTAGGTTTGTAATAAAACACAATAATCAGTCACTGAGACACAAGTGAGGGAAAATCATCCTTTTATCTGAAAATGTTTTTTTCAGAAGCTGATCAAAAAATTCCTATGCGTTTACTTCAACAGATTTAGTCATTAAGCTAAGTCTTAACATGTAAGACATGCTTTACTACAATTCTGTTTTATTAGGTGTCATTAGATAACCTTGCAAAAAAAACGCAGTCTTTTTTTTTCAATTAATCTCAAACTGTCCTTGACATTATTTAGAATATATTCAGCCTGCTGGTGACAACAATCTTTGTTCAGAGCTGTTCTACAGACCATCACCGTCCGCCAGCTCCCGGTTTGCTTCTGAGTGCTTTCTGTGGTGATGGTGGATCAGCAAAGTTGGACTAGTTGTGTTTTCCCTGCTTGTTAACGCTGTTCCTCTTCCTTCAGGATGGCTTGGATGCCCTGGTATATGACCTCGACTTTCCTGCCCTGAGGAAAAACAAGAGCATTGACAACTTTTTGAATAGATGTAAGTACCACACATCATACTTTCCTCTGAAGGATTCCTTTATCAGTGATGTCCCATTTGTGTTTCCAGAGCCCTGTTACATATGGAAGTTTAGGTCTAGGCGCAGAAAAGAAAGCTGTTTTTGGGTCACAGCCACTGTGTATGCTTGGACACAATAGGTGTCTGCTGCTTGGCTTCCCCAACAAAGGGGCTTTCATAAATGTTTGGTGACCTACATGATTCATATAAGGTTGGGCTCTTTTATTCATACTGTCCCCAAACTGTGTAATCCCCATGACTACGATTCATTTTTAATGATGAAATTGATCCACGGTTTTGATTGTGGGTCTATATCTCTTTTTCCTGAACTGATTTAATGTAATTACCCCATTCTTTGCAATTACTTCAATAGAAAATGATGATTCTCATATCACATGTTTTAGTAAAACCAGTGATGTCTAAGATGGAGGTACGATGTCGGTATTGTAATTTGGTAGTATGTACCTTTAATTTCCTGAATTGTATATAGTCCACCAGTAATTTATCCAAAAGCTAGTAAGGACACTAGACAACAAATTCTCATCGTCTCTTCCCTCTTGCTGCTGTAACTCAGCATATCAACCCCCTGGTTTTTACAGTGTTCTGTGGTAACCTTAGTTTCTCAAAAAGCTATTCAGAAAGTAAACTTTACTTCAAATCTAGTTAGATTTGTGTTCGCATGCAATACTGACAGCTTACGAACAAGCTTTATATTTGGAATATCAACCAAAGCTACTGTAAACCCTTGGGCAAAAACCTGCCATTTCACATCTTCTCAGTTATTCTTGGCCCTGTCCTTTTGTGTAAAGCATCGATTCGTATGGCCTAGAAGACCAGCCATCTACTTGGACCCTGGCCCTGACTAGCCTTGCAAGAGTTGCCTGAAGGGTTTCTGACTTAGAATTTCTGATGCACTGTGCATCAAATCAGCCGTTTGCCCCTACTTGAACACACAAACAAGCGAATATGATCCCGCAGTATATCCTCTACGCCGCAATATTTAGTCCAATACCTGAACATATCAGTGTTTCTTAATGGGATAATGCTCCCATTAACCCACATTTAAGTGAACATCTGACACACTTGTTGTAATATCTTAAGATTGCATTTTATTTTTACATCATTTGAACTTGGATACCCCCACACCCTGCTTTTCCGTGCATGCCCGTGCCAGTTACGGCCCATGTGAATTGAAAATGATCCCCCCTTAGTGCAGCATGACCAAATTTGGCTGAATAGTGGATAGTATCTCCCCTTGGGGAGCTAGAATTATTACATTGGGGAGAGGCCAAATCTCAGCAAGCAACAAACTTTCCCCAAACACTGTCAGCTTTTTTCTGGTGTGTGTGCAGACGGTCTTGTTCCTGTTCAAAATGCAGACATTACTTTACTCTCCAAGGATACAAAACCCTCAAAGCACATACTGTATTGCTTTAACTATGTAGCTAATTCAGCCATCAACAGTTTACTGCTTTTAATTGGAACCTCATCACATAGGACTGAAGATGAGCTTTTTACTGAAAGTCAGTTGAATAACCTACATAGAATAATGGCTTTTATGTACTTTTTTAGCAGTAACATTCGTCTTTTTTTTTTCCCAGACAAAGAAACTATCGGCAAAATTCGTGATCTACGGATGAAAGCAGAGGACTATGAGGTGGTTAAAGTTATCGGACGGGGTGCATTTGGAGAAGTCCAGTTGGTAAGCATTAGACATTTGTGCGCTCATTTATCCGATGTTGTTGGCAGTGAAAGAACTTCAATGTCTCATCCTTTTCAGGTAAGACACAGAGCTACAAGCAAAGTATACGCCATGAAGCTGCTGAGCAAGTTTGAGATGATCAAGAGGTCAGACTCGGCCTTCTTCTGGGAAGAGAGGGACATCATGGCGTTTGCCAACAGCTCGTGGGTAGTACAGGTATGTGGTAAAGGAAAACCCGAGGCTGACCCACCGTCGGTGTTCACTTTCATACTTGATATTAGCTGTGCGCAGCCCTTCCATTCAGCTCCCAGCCCTCTCTCTGTAATGCACACACCCTGTTGGATCAGCCCCACCCTTTTTATTGCATGCATGGCCAATCAATGCAAGATCACACACTGCCGGAAGGCCTGTTTGGTGAACGTGTCATAAACTAGAAATGCGTTTACAGACTTTCTAAAGCATGTCCGATATTCAATATTTTGAGCATACATTTCATTGTATTGGCTTCTGCTTCGAGACCACCCACCTCCGCCTCAGAAAAGGAGGATCTGTTTTATCTAGTTAGTTGAAAGATGGTGGTTAAATTGACACATGTGTCTTTACATTTATTTCTAAATCCTTCTGATGTCTCCTTCCATTCTCCAGCTCTTTTTTGCATTCCAAGATGACCGCTACCTCTACATGGTGATGGAATACATGCCCGGAGGCGATTTGGTGAACTTGATGAGTAATTACGACGTCCCCGAGAAGTGGGCCCGCTTTTACACTGCAGAGGTGGTGCTGGCACTGGATGGAATTCACTCAATGGGCTTCATTCACAGGTGACAGTCAAGGGCTGTTTTTTTCCCCCTCAAATCCGTTTTCATCCTCCTGTACCTCAGTAATTAAAGATAAAATCCTGCTCTCTTAGTCTCCCTTCATGGTTCTTAGAAATCTACACATTTACACATTTCTGATTTTGAGTTCTCATCATTTCTGAAGTAATTTCTGAAGTAGTTTGACGTAAACGCAGCAGGAGCTAGATGAGCTGCAGTTATCAGCCTTCAAAGCAACGCGTTTCATCTGTTGGTGCTGTCGGTGTGATGTGGGCACTGGTAACCATCTTATTCTTATCTCAACAGGGATGTGAAGCCTGATAACATGTTGCTAGACAAAGCAGGTCACTTAAAACTAGCAGATTTTGGGACCTGCATGAAAATGAACAAGGTATCACATTCAGATTCCTTAAATATAATTGTGTTATCACAGTGTTTAGATGAACACAGAGAAATCTGTGTTTTTTTTCCTCTTTAGGACGGCATGGTACGGTGCGACACAGCGGTTGGCACTCCGGACTACATTTCGCCCGAGGTACTAAAATCCCAAGGAGGAGATGGCTACTATGGCAGGGAGTGTGACTGGTGGTCAGTAGGAGTGTTTCTGTACGAAATGCTCGTTGGTAAGTTTTGGTGGAATACTTGTAGAGAAAGATAACTCTTCTGCAAATTTACAGGCGAGGATGTCAGATACTGATGAGTCTTGTTTGTCCTGTGCACAGGCGACACTCCTTTCTATGCAGACTCATTGGTGGGGACCTACAGCAAAATTATGAACCACAAGAACGCCCTGACCTTTCCGGACGATAGCGACATCTCCAATGATGCAAAGAATCTCATCTGCGCTTTCTTGACTGACAGGTTAGATAGGGACAGACTTCATTGCAAAGAGGATCTGAGAACATTTTGTTCTGTTATGAAAGTTTTTTTTTTTTTGGGTGTATTCAAACCCAATGTGAAGTGATTGTAAGATTTTGCTGTTAGATTTCCTCTCTTCAATGCTCTCTTCCTAAAACATCTGAGAATTTTGTGAATTGTGAGCAAACTGTTTTTCCCTCTGGACCCTACAGGGAGATTCGACTTGGCCGTAATGGTGTGGATGAAATCAAGAGACACCCTTTCTTCAAGAATGACCAGTGGACCTGGGAGAACATCAGAGACGGTACGAAGTTTTTATTGTTAGGGTCCCTGATTGTCTCAACTCATTGTCTCAACTCAACGCATTTAATTTGGCAGCCTGGACACTGTTATTTCAATCATGCAGCCAGCAATCATGTTTTCCATTTGACCTACTGCAGACAGTTGCAGGAAATTCTTGTAGACAAGCCATTCATTCAGTATCCTTTCCAAGTCTAAACGTGATTCCTGCTCAGGGTAATAATTGGCAGCGCAGCATTTTTGAGGCCTACACCAGGGAGGCGCTTCAACTCAAATGTTAATGTGCTGGGATTGCCACTGTAGCAGAGAGTGATTAGAAATGTAGGGCTAAATCCAGTAGCTTCAGTCTGTTCTTTAGTGGCTTTATGTTTAATACTTTACTAGGCTGAAGTCAGCACTTTGGTGTTGGCCACCCCTGTCGTTTCAATGGCTGACTAGCTCTGGCAGCGAGGTGCTTTCCCTTGTGTTGAAAAGGATTTCAAAATGGATGTATCATCCTGAAAAAAAGCTCGGTTCAAATCAAAGTACTTCTTTTATTTATTCCTGTTTTTGATCCACAGCTAATCCCTCTCACATTAAAGCCCCATCATGCTGAAATATGAAAATAAAAAGTAGTATATGAAAACAGTGATCAATTACGTAACCATGTAAATAACAAAAATATTTTTGTTTTTTACTTTTTGTTTGGGCTCATGTGGTTACTGGGATTGTCAGCTGCCAGAAGTTTGGCACCAAAAGCTCTAAAATGATCTTATTCCTGAAGGCAAATGCCATTAAAAATCTGTAGACTTGTTTGAACGTAGATTTTCTTTTCTGACTTTTGAACTTACATTGTTTTGATTTAGATTGATTTCCTTAATGTCTGCTAATGGGGGGGAAAAGCCTTTATACTTAAATTAAGCTTTGAGAAAACTTTTGGTGGTGTATTTTTTGTAACGTGTGTTCTGAATTGTTTGATTAATTGTCTGAGCCTTTAACCCAAAATAACTGAAGGCGTTGTGTAAAGAGTTCTTTGTTGAACATCATGAGTTTGCCATTCTCCTGTCATTTGCAGCGGCTGCCCCTGTTGTGCCTGAACTGAGCAGTGACATTGACACCAGTAACTTCGATGACATTGAGGAAGATCGGGGAGAGGAGGAGACCTTTCCCATACCAAAAGCCTTTGTTGGCAACCAGCTCCCCTTTGTTGGCTTCACATACTACAGTAATCAACAGTAAGTCAGCCAAATATGTGCCTTCTCTCAATACAAATCCTGGATATTTCTCACTTACTGAGTGAGAATTCTGAAATAATGAATGGTCAGAAATAATGACCATAATGACTTTATTACTGAAGTTCTATCTTCCACAATGCTTTTTCAGCCTTTTGCGCGGCTCTCCAGCAACAAAGACCAGCGACAAACGCTGCAGCTCCACAAAAGAGGACAAGAGCCATGTGAGTAAAACGATGGACTTAACAGGATGGTGAATATCTGCTATCATCTCATTGTTTTAAAACAAATTACATGTCTCTATTCAGCTTGAGAACCTGCAGAAACGAATCTACCAGCTAGAGGAGCAACTCCACAGTGAAATGCAACTCAAAGATGAGCTGGAACAGAAATGCAGGTATGGAGTAATTCAGTTACTCCACTAAAACAAAGAAAAACCTATTGTTAAAAACATTGGAATTTCAGATCTCCTTTTGTGAGAAGCTCAGTTCAATTTTTGGGAAGACTACTGTTTTCAGTTGAGTTTTATTTATCAAAACGAAAACACGGGATGCGTTACCATGATGACGCAGTCAGATCAAGCCGTTTCTTATCTAGTTGTATGAAAAAAATTATGAAGAAATTAAACTTTCTACAAGTAACTGACTTCAGTTTTTCATTGTAAGGAACAGAAGAAGCTTAGTTTCTCTCACTCTGTTCTTTCCAGGGCGTCACACACCAAGATTGAGAAGATAATGAAAGAACTGGATGAAGAGGTTCAGTTTTTGTATTCTTAATATTCAGCAATAAGTTGATTATAGACATGCAAATTATCATAGATTTAATGAAGGAGTTAATTCCTCGACATGTCAACCTTTCTGTTGTCCATTGCCACAGGCGAACCTGAGGAAGAGCGCAGAAGCCAGCACCTCTCTGCTGGAGAAGGACAAGATTATGCAGCAGCACAGATTCACAGAGTACCAAAGAAAAGCTGACCAGGAGGCGGAGAAGAGACGTAATTTAGAGAACGAGGGTAAAGATAATGATTAATAATTAAGATAAATATGCATGAGAGTTTTTGAAGTGCAGATGCAGTCTGGATATGATCACAGTTTGGTAGCATTGTAATAACTTTCTCAACACATGTGCTAGTAACGGTAATATACATTGTTGTCCTCACCATAGCAGCACTTACTGTACGTTTTTGCAGTATTTAAATAGTGTTGAGACGTTAAACTTAAAAACTATTTTTTTCATATAGGATTTAAAATTAAGAAGGAACTCTGGAATACGAGATAGATTTGTTGGAATTTTAGCTTAAACGAGAGCCAGTTTTCATAGATTTTTGTAATGGTTTTTTTCTTAGTGTCTACTTTGAGGGAGCAGCTTGAAGATTTGAAGAAGATCAGTCAGAACTCGCAGGCTTCAAATGACAAGATTGCCCAGCTTCAGAGTCAGGTAAAGAGAACCTACAACTCCCACACAGAAACCGTCCGACAGCCGGCTTAAACTACAGTTCTTCTTGTTTATAAATTAGCTGCTAACGACCACACAAAAACAATGCGGTTACCTTCATTTTCCTCTTTTTTCCGTTGACAGCTGGAAGAGGCTAACGACCTCCTGCGCTCCGAGTCAGACACTGCAGCCAGACTGAGGAAGAGCCACACAGAGATGACCAAGTCAGTCAGCCAGCTGGAGACTTTGAACCGTGAGCTGCAGGAGCGGAGCCGCGCAGCAGACGGAGAGAAGGCGCAGCTGCAGAAGGAGCTCCTTGTTCTTCAGAGCTCCCTGGATTCAGAACGAAGGAACTACAGCCAGGGTTCAGAGGAGATCAGGGAGCTGCAAGGTGACCCATTGGCTCTCATTCAAGTCAACCTTCAAGAAAATTTGATACTAAATCTGATTATGCTTCTTGAAATAAAATGTTCTTACTTTTTTGTACCCCTTTTAAAATCCTAATTCCAATATTATACCAACTGAGGGTACTATTAGGATTTTAAAAGATAACTGTGTACATTCAATGAGATGTCCGTCTTTCATATATCGGAAAGCTGCACAAATTCCTGTGAGCAGAGATAATGTCTTATTTTTCCACAGCGCAAATCTCCCTCTGATTTATCTGTCAGGAAATGAATGGGTAATTGAGCTGCTTTGACATGTATTGATGAATGAAGTTATTAGCACAAACCAAGCTGATTTATCAAAAAGCACTGGCTTCAGTGACTCGCTGGTTCTGGGTGACTTTGGAACCCGCAAACCTTAAAGTGGTATAGAAAATGAATGGAAGAATAACCTATTATGTTTGCCTTTGTTTTCCCTCAGCGAGACTGGCTGGACTGCAGGAGGATAACAAAAACCTGAAGCACAGCCTCTCCAAAGTGGAAGGAGAACGCAAGCAGGCTCAGGAAAGAAGTAACAACCTGGAGAAGGTACACAAGCAGCACTTTTAGGGGTACCAGTTGGGCTGGAAATCGCTAATATTTTGGGTACTTCTGACAGCAGTTCATGTTGTCTGGTACTGTTCCCCACAGGAGAAAAACAACTTGGAGATAGACCTGAACTACAAGCTGAAGACCTTGCAGCAGCGTCTGGAACAGGAACAGACGGAGCACCGGGTGACGCGGGCTCAGCTCACAGACAAATACGAGTCTATTGAAGAAGCCAAATCAGCTGCCATGAATGGTATGTCAGCCCTTTGCCAGAGCATGCCCCAACACTTTCCCCTCCTGATATTTTCCCAAAACCATTCCTTCTTTCTGCTCTTTTTCTAATTCTGCACTCTGTCGTACTCTGAACTTCTTTCCCACCCTATCAAACCCTTTCAGTCTAATTTTTTTCTGTCTGATCAGAATGGCCTTAAGGTGCTGTTTGGTTTTGATTTTGGTTAATTCAAGGAGTCTAATCCAGCTAATCTGTCGGACATTGTCTCACCCCATATCAAAGCCAGCAATAACCTCTGAGATAGAAAACATACCTGACCAGAAACAAAAGTGAACTCCACATGCTATGCTGATATTCAACAGTTAGGCCATCGCTTTGCATTACTGCTCTCTTTGCGGCTGTAGACGTTAAAATGAATTTTGTCCCTCTCCTGCTCCAGCTGTTCAGCAGAAGATGTCGGAGGAGAATGGAGCGCGGATGAGAGCGGAGAGCCGGGTTGTGGAGGTGGAGAAACAGTGCTCAATGTTGGAGTTTGACCTCAAGCAGTCGGTGCAGAAAATGGAGCAGCTGATGAAGCAAAAGGAGAGGCTGGAAGATGAGGTTCCTAAATGTCTAACGCAGCCTTCGATGTGTGAGTTCTTCTGCCAAGTGCAGCTCCTACAGTTTTTGTTTGCACTCCCTCCATAGGTGAAGAATGTACGGATGCAGTTGGAGCAGGAGTCGAGCAAGCGCGTCCTAGCTCAGAATGACCTGAAGACGCGCATGCAAGACCTGGACCGTCTGAGGTGTTCAGAGAAGCAGCTCAAACAAGAGATCAACACAGCGCTCGAGAATAAACGCTCACTGGAGTTCCAGCTGGCACAGTTGACCAAGTACGTTTCTGAACTAGAGTTTTGGGTGAACCTGATACTTAGCATAAAGTTATACAATAACGTATCTATTCACCAATAATATTTCTTTGTAATAGGAGGTAAATAAGCTTGAGCAGAACTCTTATTTCCTGTTACCGAAGCCTTGTGCACTAATTCTCCCTGGGAGTCAAGGTTTCAATTGCCCTAATGTTGCCTATTATTTTCAAATAAGTGCTATTATTCCAGCTTAAAGCATGATTCTGCTAAAGCTGTTTTGCCTCAGTGTTTACACTAGGAGATTAGGCTTCCCTCTCAGTCCTGCTTCATGCACTCACTAATCCTTTGGTCAGCTCATTCCACTGCAACCCATTTAGATGATTTTGATGAAAAGGTCTTTAGAATTTAGTTTATTCCATTCCATTAAAAAAAAAAAAACTAATCAAATTGAAGTATACGACTTTATTCTTTTTTTTTTCCTGCATTTATTTTTTTTAATAGACAATACAGAGGCAACGAGGGACAGATGAGGGAACTTCAAGACCAGCTTGAGGCCGAACAGTATTTTTCTGTAAGTATGTGTTCAAGGTTTTGGAGTATCACTGCTTTTAAAACCAGTCTAACTATTTATTTGGTTCCTCAGACACTTTACAAAACTCAGGTGAAGGAGCTCAAGGAAGAGATCGAGGAAAGGAACCGGCAGGTACAAGAGGCACAAAAGAAGGTGCAGGATTTGTGTAGTGAAAGGTAAAGAAGCTCTTGTAATCTTTTTAAACTTCTTTTTGGAAGTATTTATTTAGGATTGCATGCTTTCATTTAGCTTTTATTACTTTGGGAAAGTCAGAGCTAACCATATCACATTCTCCATCCTGAACACAGGGACTCCCTGTCTGCTCAGCTGGATCTGACTGTGACCAAGGCAGAATCTGAGCAGCTTGCCCGGGCACTTCAGGAGGAGCAGTACTTTGAGCTCAGCCAGGAGAACAAAAAAGCAGCTGCCCGATATAAGCAGGACGTTGGAGAAAAGGAAGCTACTATTGCACGGGTGAGAAGAACTGAAAATGTCCCTTCTTGTCTGTAGTTTTGCTGTTTCACTCTGACTTTACTCACTAACTGTGGATGTGGGAGGCGGAATAATTTTCAAATTTCTATGCAGCTTGAGGAATCCAATAAAACTTTGACCAAAGATGTCGAGATCCTCAGCAAAGAGAAGGCCGAGTTGAATGAGAAGCTCAGTATTCAGGAAGATGGTACAGTTTGCTCACTGATCACCATCTGTGTTATCTTAGATGCTGCTGTTATACAAACTGAGTCTGAGTTCTCCTTTTTTAGAGTACATGGTGCAGAAGGAAGAGATTAGCAATACACTCAAGGCTAACTATGAGAAGGTCCTCAGCAACGAGCGCACACTAAAAACTCAGGTGAGTTTCTGTACGGAAGTCAACTGGCTGTGAAGGCAGAGCTGTGGCCGATATTTTTTTTTTTCAAACATTCTTCCTCCATCTTTCTTTAGGCTGTGAACAAGCTAGCAGAGATTATGAATCGAAAAGACATGAAAATTGACCAGAAGAAGAAGGGCAGCACGGCAGATCTGAGGAAGAAGGAGAAGGAGAACCGCAAGCTTCAGCTGGAGCTCAATCAGGAGAAAGAGAAGTTCAACCACATGGCCATTAAATACCAGAAGGAGCTGAGCGAGATGCAGGCTGTGAGTTAAAACACCTCCGAGGGCAATTTACAGTTTTCTTATCTACTCTATCATACCAGTTTTTAACCGGAGTCTCTTAACCTTCCTGCTCCCAGCAACTGGCAGAGGAAAGCACATATCGCACCGAGCTCCAGATGCAGCTGGACAGCAAAGAGAGCGATATCGAGCAGCTCCGAGAGAGGCTGAATGACATGCAGCAGCGCATTGATAACTCCAGCGTCACCAGCTTGCAGACAGATGAGTTGGACAGTAATATCGCAGGTATGACGACCCCTGTCTGTGTCTGCAGATGGCTGCTGTCTATTTTATGACAAAACTCAACAGTCTTTAAAAAAAAAAAGAAAAAAAAAAGAAAAAGGAAAGGTTTGATGTAAAAGGACCCCCATATACTGTGTCCTAAGATAAAGCAGCTGTGTCTGTCATTTTTTTATCGCCTTCCATTTGACCTGACTGCATCCTGGTTTATTGAGGTTTTATATAGACAGAAGTCACAAAAAGCACCAGATTTGAACAGTTGAATGTCACATTGTTGCTTTGTGTGTCTCCAGTTTAGCTACTTCTGCTGCTTAGAGTTTATGGCTAGTTGTAGCACAATCCTTTTACAAAGCATACACTATTGGTTTTGTGCCTATTGTGTAAAGGTGAGTCAGTAACATTGTTGCCGTAGTCCACAGCCCATACCGAACAGTTTCTCATAAAGAACCCGATTCCTGAATATGACTTTACATGGCTCTGAGTGTGTGTTTTCATGTTTGCTGGTGTCTCTGGTTAAACCAATCTCTCTTATTTCCCTCATGTCCAGTTGGTTCTCCTTGCTCTTCTTATCTTTGTAACTCCCATTCCTTTTCCTCTGTGAGTAACTCGTGGAGTCCTTCTTGCCCGCCCTGTGCTGCAGCTGTTGTGTGTTCCGTCTTGTTTCCCCTTGAGTTTCTTTGGTATTGTTTAGCCAAAGGGGCTGTATCTATTGGGAGGGTTGCCACTTGTTTTTTTTTTTGTTTGTTTTTGACCGAAGCCTGGTACAGCAGGGCGTAAATGACCTATGGGAAGTTGAAGCAGGCTTAAAATAAATGCCTAACATTAGTGAAGGCTTCAGTCACGGTGTTGGCTCTTAATTTACTAAATGTCACCAGGCCACCTCCAACCAATTTGGAAAAGTGTTGACTAACAGCACCCTGCGTGAGGTTTCCCACGCCACTCTCAGCACCCTCCATACGTGTCCTGAAAGTGAAGAGATGGCTGTCCGATTTGTCCACTGTGTTCTTTAAACACGTAACACTCCTGTGTGTTTGTCAGCATGTTCACCAGAAGTAGGACTCTTTAGGACACAGAGGCCTCCATCACGCTGCCACACAGTAGACCGGCCTGTTTGAGTTCACTGGCTCTATGATGCTTGTCGTTTCAGCTGCATGTTCCTACCTTTTTTGATTTGAACTCCAAATGATGTCAAAATGTAACCTGTGTGTCAGTGACAAACGGTAGCCCCTGCGTAACACGCTGTAGAAATGAGTTTCCTCTGCTTTCTGTTATGCTGCTGCATGGAATACTGCAGCTATCGCCTGTCACCTCCTCCCGGGGACTCACCCTCAACCCTTCAGCTCGTCCAGTGGAGTTCCTCTTTAGTTCCGAGTAGAATAGCAGCATAACTTTTGACTTGTTTATCCCCCAGTTGAGTTTGGATTTAAGTGCTGCATGGCCTGTGTCCCGTGTCTGTAATTCACTGCACATTTTGTGATTTTGAAAAAAAAAAAAATCTGTAATGCTTCTCAGAATCCAGACTGGAGGGCTGGCTGTCCATTCCTAATCGTGCTAATATCAAGAGATACGGATGGAAGAAGCAGGTACGGTTCTCGTTTCCAACGCTCACCTGCTTCCGTTCAACTTTGTGCTGACACAGCACTTACTGGAGGGCAGAATCAGGCTTCGTCTTATTGACTTTTCAATATTTTCAGTATGTGGTGGTGAGCAGTAAGAAGATTCTGTTCTACAACGACGAGCAGGACAAAGAGCAGTCTAACCCTTCGATGGTACTAGATATTGAGTAAGTATTTCCTTCTCCATGCCATCGGTACTTTTTTCCAGTGGGGATCTTCCTGCGTTGTGTTGCGGCTCATTGAGACACATCCATTTCTAATTTGATATCTCGTGCAGCAAACTGTTCCACGTGAGAGCAGTTACACAAGGAGACGTGTACCGAGCTGAGACGGATGAGATTCCAAGGATATTCCAGGTAGGAGGTTCCTGTCAGCACAATAGTTCCGTCCTTTTTAAACATGAATTTTTTAGCCCGATTCTGGTGCGCCCAACGTTGAATTTGTGACATGGCTCCCTTTCCATTTCTTTAGATCTTGTATGCCAATGAGGGAGAGTGCAGGAAAGAGGCAGATATGGAGACGGTCCCACAAGGGGACAAGACCAACTGTTTCCCACACAAAGGCCATGAGTTCATCCCCACACTGTATCACTTCCCCTCCAACTGTGAGGCCTGCTCCAAGCCTCTGTGGCACGTCTTCAAGCCGCCGCCGGCCCTGGAATGCCGCCGCTGCCACGTGAAGTGCCACAAGGACCACCTCGACAAAAAGGAGGATGTTATTACTCCTTGCAAAGGTAAAGTCCCACACCAGTGATGCCAGGTGTCACACATCTGTTTGTTAGTTTTTTTTATTAGAAAAGGAGTAATGATTTTCTGTTAACCATAGAATCATAATACCGACGACATTCATACAGATAATAGTTTCAGATAAGCACAACAAATTGGTGTTTTTCTAATTTACATGTCTGTTTCAAAAAGTGTTATGTGTTCCTAATAAGCAGTCTGATGGATTTTTGTCAGCATGCAGTTGCTGCTCTGTTTCTGCTAAATGGATGATTTGTTGTAGAATAGAGTTAACATCCACATATAAGCAGGAAATATTGTTTCACAAATCTTCCTCTCCACGTTTTGTTAATGAAATAATATGACACTTGCCTCATTTGATTGTTCATCTCCAACTCTCTGTCACTCTTCCACAGTTAACTATGATGTGACCTCAGCCCGGGACATGCTCCTACTGGCGCTTACTCAAGATGAGCAAAAAAAATGGATCGGCCACCTCGGAAAGAAGATTCCCAAAACCCCGCCATCGACATTTTCCAGAGCCTCTCCCCGTTCTATGTCCACCCGCTCTGGACCCAACCAGTCCTTCCGCAAGAACCCAAAAAGCAATATTGGAAAGCTGAGGTAACTCGACACTTTTGGAACTCAGGCGGGGCCATACAAAGTGTTTGTGATTACACAAACTATTTCATATGAATCTTTTTTTTCCAGATGGTAATGTTAAGATACATTTAGTCCAGAGTAAATGAAGATGTACCTCAGTCAGAGGTTTTCTTTCTATCCCAGCTTGGGAGCTGAGTTGTGTTGAAGTCAGTCACGTGAACTGCTGTCTGTCTCCTGTGTTGTAGCCGAGCGCAGTCCAGCCTTCAAGCAGCAGACACAACATCCAGCACTTGTTGACAGGAAGTTCTTCAGAACGCGTTGATGTGTTTTATTTTTATTTCATTTTAGCCTTTCCTTTACAGCTTCAATCTTGTCTATTTATTAATCGTGTTGCTGGCTTTTTTCTAACATTAGAGACACTTCCTTGTTGGTTTGTTGAGTCCTGGGCTCTGTGCCGTTCACACTTTGGATTTCCAAATTGGCAGTTGTGTATTCTTGGGTATAGCATCTTATCTTTGGAAGGCTTACTTTGACATCTGGTAGAATTGTTCAATTTTCAGGGTCTCCCCTCCACCCATCTTGTCAGACGTGTTCAAAGATGTTGATGCTTTTACACTATCTGTAAACTAGAAGCTTTCTTGTGTGTCTGACGGGGTTACTAACTAAGGTCAAAGGTTACTTCTTTGTTTTACTAGATGCTCTGTTTCTGTTCTTTCTTTCAGCTAACCATCTGAAGCATTGGGATTTTTCTGGACTTCTAAACTTTCCCTCCTTCCTCCTTCGCAAAAATGGAAAGCCTGTACTACATTAAAAATGTATTCAAAATACAAAAAGAAGAAGAAAAAGAATAGATGCAGTGGAAAATTGCTGCTTATGTCACACACAGGGCATCATGAACATTTCAAGGTGGACCCTGCCCCCCCCCCTCCATCTGCCCTTTACCACATTCAGAGGAAAGCGTCTCTCCCAACTAAACAAACTTGAAGTTCGCCATTTCTACCAGAAGATGGCACACTCGCCTTGAAGTAAAGATGGACAACAGAGGGATGGAAGGACTCTTGTCATGTCAGCGTTCATATTTAGTGACAGCTGAAACGGAAGCTGGAATGTTTTGGGGGGGAATTTCCTGGACTCCTGCAAGTATGTCTTCAGTTTAAGGTACTGTCATACAGGGATTATAGATCTGCAGTGAAAAGCTGTCTCAGGAGTGAGAAAAATAAAGTCATTTTAGCTATTTCAGCCCCCGACTAACGGCTCTCTGAGCAAAACTGTTTTATCCAACGACAACAACAAAAGAAAAACAAAAAAAACCATGACTGATGCCTTCGTCTAGTGTCTCTGGCCTTTTTGCCTGTGTTCTTATCACTCTGCAAGTCACTTATCAGGTCTGGGATGGCGTATTGGGACATGAGTATTAGATGTCTTGAGTATTGAGTGAGGAGCATGCAAGATCATCATTTAAATCTATGCATTATTTTTATTATTATTTTTATTGCTCCAAGCCATAAGGAAAATTCCGTTGTAATGGCATATAGGAGTCATGAAACTAAATGGATTTTTTTCTGTTTATTTGGTACATTCTCAGTAATATGTTTTTCTTTCTTGTATTGTTAATTTCTTTTTTGTAATGTATTGCCTTACATTGATTCATAGATAGATGGCTCAAAAGGAAAACATTAAGTTAACAAATGTAAAACTGCACTGTTTGACTTGACTGTAAATTATTTGTAGAAGACTAAACTGGTGTAGCATTTGGCCCACCTAGTGCCTTAACGTTTGGATATTGATTTTACTGCCATATCTGGTTATTTTATTTGTTTTTTTTTTTATTTTATTATTATTTGAACACACGCAGACAAAGCTTCTTTTTATTTTTGCTCCAACACGACACAAAGCTTAACTCTTCCATCATTTTTTTTTAATTTTTTTTAAGAAATTGCCACACGTGTGGTTTTATCAGAACTTCCTCTCTTCCTTTCTCTGGTTTTCATTAGAAATTATATATTAGATGACGTCTTTTTGGACATGTTGCAACAGGGGCTGTGTCGAAGCAAAGTCCCCACACTTGATTAATATCGCAGGACAAATTTCAGGTGTGTAGCCAAAGTGAGTCTACCTGTGTGAATGATTGTCATGTTAGTAGTAACAGGTCATTTCACCCACATGGTAAAGTCCCTTCTAGAGTGTATATAATGAGAGACGTAAGGATTATGGAATACCTCCACAGTCTTTTTATTTGTACGTTGTTTTTTTTCAGTTTAAAAAAAAAGTTTAAAAAAAACAGCACTGGAAATATGATCTACTCTTGTCTTGGATAATTTGCATGGTTAAATTGCATTGGAGTCCGCACTGATGGATATGTCAATAAACATATCTTTATCATACTCTGTTGGTGGTGACTGTCCTGTGTTTATTCTCCACTTTGCTGGCAGTGAGCCGGGCCACATCTAACACAACCCAAAGTTCTCCAAAGCTTTAGTAATGCGCACAGAACCCTGTCCCAAACTTGCGTTTTAGATTTCTGAAGTGTTTTATTTACTTATGTCGTGGTCCTGTGACCTGAATGGAGAGCTAATATGTGCCACAAGACCTCTTCCATTGTTTTCTGTCAAACTGTGTTTTCCAAATTAAATTAAGGACGTGTGGTTTTTTTTTTCACCAGCAAAGAAAGACTCCACACCAATGGTGTCAATTCCACAAAGAGTGGCTCTGGAATTTTGTTAAAAACAATCTCAGATATTTTATAAGAGAAAGTTTTGCTCTTTATAAGTGTGCTTAATTACACCAGATAAACGTGAGTAACAACCCCTGGCTCAAACGCACATCTGTACAGTGTATCTAATTGATCCGGTGATGTGTTGTATGCAACAGGACGGCCAGCAGATGTCGAGCGCATCGATAAGATCCCAGCGTGTTGTTGCAGCGTCATTCTGTTTGAATGAAGTTCAGATTGAGAACTAGCCAACTCTTGATTCGCGCCCCGGTGGACTCAAACAGGAAAAAACAACGGAGAAAGTGAAAGATTGCCAACCATGCCTGTGTTTACAGGTATGTTGAAATGGATAAAGTGTACTAATTTCCCTGAAAGGATCATTAAACACGCATCCTTACACGTGTTGTAGTGCGACTGGGTATATCACATTAGCTTAGCTGTCTAGCTTGATGTGCAACTAGCATACTAACAGTAGTGAAGTGACTGTGCGATTTTTTTTCCTAGTAATTTTGCATTTGGTGGATTTTATTTACAGTAAACAATGTGAAATAAAGAAAGGCGTAAAGTTGTCAGACGCCTTTCGTGTTTTAAGTGCCGGGGCTGATTAAGAGGCTTGTTTTGCGAAGCCGGCTATGCTAACTGGCACCTGAAACGAAACCGCAGCTATTGAAGCTAACTGTCAAGCTAGTTTAGTTAGCTTGACAACTGTTAAATGTTTCTTTTTTGTTTTGTTTTTGACATTTGTTCAAGTTTCGTTTCACTATATGATATGTGCTTGATGTATGCTTTTATCAATTTGAGTAGCTTTGTTTTAATTGCTTAGTGTTAACTTTAACACATTATTTAGCGAAAGATAGCGTTGCTAGTTAAGCTAGTCAAATTTTTAAACGTTGTGTTTTACTATTCCGGACAATCGCAAGCCACTTAGTAAACTGCTTTACAGTTTTAACAGCTGTACTCCGGCATGCCAAAACCAACCTTTAATTTAAGTGGGAAGGAAGCCAAACTGCAATAACTGGTAGCTTTGCGTTTGCATATTTTTGCCCGACTGTCAACAAGGTTGCCCTTTTAAATGCCTGGTTCCTTTATTTTTTATTTTTTACTCTTACTTGCTCCGGGATGCTGTGTCATACATGGCTGGGGTTTGACAACAAGACGCTCCAAACTCGCATCAGGGAAAGCTGATACACCTGCTGTTTCTGTTTCTTACAGTAAATGTGAAATGGGGCAAAGAGAAGTTTGATGCAGTAGAGCTCAACACTGAGGAACCACCCATGGTTTTCAAGGCTCAGCTGTTTGCGCTTACAGGAGTCCAGCCAGACAGACAGAAAGTGATGGTGAAGGGAGGCACTCTGAAGGTACTCATCTTATACCACGCTTAAAGTTTCCTCACACCAGAAGAGTAGGTAGCATTCTGTGTGGTTACCCTATCTGATTTGATCAAGAAACAACATCTGTACTATAAGCTAAACGTACCCTTGTTCTATAGATTGGCCTGCTTACATTTCTAGTTATGAGACTCAAGGCTGACATCACATTTTTGTTTGCATTGTGTTTGTTTACTGGCTTTAACTGATGACCTGCTTTGAGTTTGCAGCACACATTTTTCAAATAATAAAATGTGAGACAGAATAATATGACAATAGTTATTATGTAGGCCTTGTCATTTCATTAGACTCCTCAAAGTGTACATCTTCTTCATACTTTTGTGAACTGCTAATAAAGATTCCTAACTTCTTTTTAGGATGATGAATGGGGAAACATTAAACTGAAAAATGTGAGTATTTTTTTGGGCTGTTCTTTGGACTGGCACTCAGAATAGTTACGCCCCTTTAACTGGATAGTCTAACCAATAATGTGTTAAAAGATACCGTTTGAATTCTGTCCCAGGGAATGACACTGCTGATGATGGGCTCAGCAGAGGCTCTACCAGAGGAGCCTTCCGTCCGGCCCATGTTTGTGGAGGACATGACTGAGGAGCAGCTGGCCTCAGCGGTGAGTAACGGGTCGGCTGTTCTGCTCAGGAAGCCTCTAAATGAAGGTGCCTGGATGTAGGGACGCTTCAATCATAAGTGTGCTCTAAGTTCTCTAGAACTTAGCACCAAGGAAAGGTGCCAAGGAAAGGTGCTTCTGGGTTTTCTTGATTATGTCCCCTAGTTTAGAAAAAGATGTTTCAGACATTTCAGATGGACCTTAAGCTTTTATAAAAAAAAAAAAAATCAGATTGCAGCTTTTTAAAGCCATGAAAATGAAGTCATGATGACGTTTTGGATCGTCTCAAATGTATGTAATGCATGTGAAAATATGTCCCCAAAAACAGAGCCCACTCTAAACTCAAAGAGCGGTAACGCCTCCTTTCATTTGAAAACTCTGAGACGGAGCGAGGAATGATTATCTGTGTTGTCCCGTCTCCGTGTCGCCTCGTCCAGATGGAGCTGCCCTGTGGGCTGACCAACCTGGGCAACACCTGTTACATGAACGCCACAGTGCAGTGTCTGCGCTCGGTGCCGGAGCTGAAAACCGCCCTCAGGAGGTTTGTTCCACCCTTTTGTTTGGGTCTGTGAGACGCATTCCCGCTTAATTGGCAGGCTCTGAGGGCTTCACAGGGACGCATCGGTATCGGTCATCTTTGTCCTTCACGTCCATACTGAGCTGTTCCCTTCTGTTCTCCGTCCCTCCGCAGGTATTCAGGAGCTCTGCGGTCCTCGGGGGCCAATGCACCCTCACAGTACATCACAGCAGGTATGAGGCGCAGGCAGCATGTGACCCTGCTTGAGAAATAGTTTTTAAAAAATCGTTTTTCATGGCCCGGCCTCTCTAAAGCACTCAAAATGCCTTTGTTTTCTTTTTTGTCAGCCCTTCGTGATTTATACGAGACGATGGACAAGACCTCGTCCAGCCTCCCGCCCATTATTCTGTTGCAGTTCCTCCACATGGCCTTCCCACAGTTCGCCGAGAAAGGGGATCAGGGCCAGTACCTCCAGCAGGTGAGAGAGCCGTCCCAGTGGGGCCCGCAGCTCCCTGACCGCTGAGTGTGAGACGTTCTCCTTCTCCTCGTCAGGATGCCAACGAGTGCTGGCTGCAGATGATGAGAGTCCTTCAGCAAAAGCTGGAGCCACTACAGCTAGAAACCGCCATGGAGGTTGTTTTTCGACTCATTTCTCATCTTGATCTTTAAATGTTTTTTTGTTTTGTTTTTTTTACAGCTAAGTGAGACTGTTCAATAGATGGTTTCAGTGTGACTCTTCTCTCCTTCAGACCGACACTGAGAGCGGAGCCTCCTCAGCCACGTCCAAGAAGAACTTCATTGACCAGTATTTTGGCGTGGAGTACGAGACTTCGTATCCTCTCGCAGTTGAAATCCACCGGTTCTGTGCGTCGATTGCGTCTGTTTTTTTCCTTTAACTATTGTTGTTCAGCATGAAGTGCACAGAGTCTGAGGAAGAAGAGCCAATCAAGGGAAAGGAAAGCCAGCTCCAGCTCAGCTGCTTCATCAATCAAGAAGTCAAATATCTGGCCACAGGACTCAGGCTGGTAGGTGAACCGCCGCATCGAAATGCTGGCTGGACAATGTGCCACTAGATGTCGCTGCGTGCTTTACCCGGGACCCAAAGCCCACAGCCTGATCAGAGCAGGCGGCCGGGTTCACAGAGAAAGATCCCACAATGCACCTGGAAACAAAAGATTTTTGGTCATGCAGATAATGATTTTTTCTTCTTCTTTTTTTTTTTTCAGAGACTGCAAGAAGAGATCACAAAAATGTCTCCAACCTTGGATAGAAATGCTCTGTATATAAAATCTGTAAGTCATTTGGTCAGATACCAAATGGGATATTATCCTTTTTAACTTTGCCAACTTTGTTTTGAATTTGATGTCTTTTGTTGTCTCCCTAGTCCAAACTTAGCCGCCTCCCTGCCTATTTGACCGTTCAGATGGTCCGATTTTTCTACAAGGAGAAGGAGTCCGTCAATGCAAAAGTTCTAAAGGTTTGCCCTTTATCCTCCATCCATTTGGACTTTTTTTAACAGCCCTAACTGTAGCTGCCTCTTAACCTGGCTTTCCACCGTTGTTGTCATTTTAAGGACGTCAAGTTCCCTCTCATGTTGGATGTGTATGAGCTATGCACCGGAGAGCTCCAGGAGAAGATGCTGCCAATACGGTCAAAGTTTAAGGAGGTCGAGGACAAGAAGCTAGAGAAACAGCAACAAAAGGTAAATAAAACAGGAAAGTTTGTCTGTGCAAAGCCATTTCCTTCTGCATCTGTGTGATTAACCACTGATGCATTTGTCACAGAAACCACTTCACTATTTCTCCTTTGTGTTTTCTTTAGTTATTGAAGAAGCCAGATGCTGCAAAAGATGTGAAATATGAGCCTTTCTCATTCCCGGATGGTATGTAGCAACTTTAAAGTCCTATCAAAAATGATATTTTTAGCATGAAATTGGAAAAAAAAAAAAGAAAAGAGCCATCTATAATACAGAAAGAGGTCGGAAAAGTTCTCAAAGTAGACAAAGTAAAAAAGCCTGAATCAACATGTGAAAACACATAAACACAATAGTTTTCTTTCAAGCACTCCTCTTTTATCAGTTGTTAAATTCTTAAGAAATAAAATCTGATTGGGAGCTACAGGTATCTAAAGGGTTTCAGGCTAATTTGACCATTGTTTAAGGGAGGGTAGTAGAGGGCCCTCCTGGATGGATGAATGGAGGATTTCACTCAGAAACAGACAGATAAGACCAGTGGAGAACAATTCCATCTTAATTTTAAAAAAATAATAAAACTGGTATGTGGCTAGATTAGATGAGACAAGTGAGCAGGATGGAGGAGTTGGGAGGCGGGGCCCGTGATCCAGCACATATGCATATATCTGTCAGACATGTTGGAAGCAGCGTGAGACGAGGGCACGCACGTCTGCCAAAGGAAACTGGTCACTGTTTTCAGGATGATGGTGACATAATTGTTCCTGAAGTGCTTTCCGATCACATCAAGTCAAATTCCTCTAAATCACGTCGTGGAAGGAATCGAAATCCCTCCCGATTTAATGAGCAACGAGCAAAACAAGCCGAGCATCTGAAAGAGGAAATCTCATTCAATTTTCATTTATTATTTAGTGAGCTGGAAGTTTGCTTTCAATCGCACATTAATCGCTTCATTTCAGAGATGGATCGTTTTGTTTCCCCCCCCAGACGATTTTGTAAAGGCAGATCTCTTTATTTTCCTCTTCTGATAATATTTTAGGTCGTACTTAACCCTGATGGGAACCACAGCGTTTTGTGAGTGGGGTGATTTAAATGGAAGGCTTTGTGTTTGTGTCGTAGACGTGGGCTCCAACAACAGCGGCTACTACGACCTGCAGGCCGTGCTGACGCACCAGGGCCGCTCCAGCTCGTCCGGCCACTATGTGGGATGGGTCAAGAGGAAAGAAGGTGACCACGGCTCTATCAGCCCCGCTCCGGAGTGCAGGAGGCTCGATCTTAATGCCTCTTTCTCTTCACAGATGAGTGGGTGAAGTTTGACGACGACAAAGTGAGCGTGGTGACCCCAGAGGACATCCTGCGACTGTCGGGCGGCGGCGACTGGCACATAGCCTACGTTCTACTGTACGGGCCCCGCCGGCTGGACGTACTTGAAGACGAACAGTAGCTGGAGGGAGAGCCCTCAGACTGCGTCCACACATACAGAATGCCATTTCCAAGCACTGTCTGCATAGATGTGCAATAAAACCGGTGTCTTTAAACGTTTGATTACCTTAATTTTTTTTTTTGGGTTTTGTTTTGTAACCAACACAAATGCTTGTAAAAGAAACCAATTGTGTTAAATATTCCTACACAGTGGGCTTTGAAAATGGTGATATGGTGAGAGGCAATCTACAGACTGGATCCTTAAGGTTTCTAAGTCTGTCTCTGCAGTTTCATTAAATGTTTTATATGCATTGTATATTTTGATAAAGCCTTGGAAAAGGCGGTCATATCATCAAAGTGAAATATTTCTCTTTAGTCATCTAATCAACTTGTAAATGCCTCGCCAAGGTGCTGTCCTTGACATTCTGGCTTGTGTGGTCACAGATGTTACGGAACACTGTAAAGACTTCTTCACCTGTTGGCCCTTTAGGACATTTGGGTTCAGTCTCAGGTCTTTCAAGTGCTTTGGCTCCCATCATCTCCTGTGATTGTTCTCAAAATGTATTGACAGATGAGGTTCTGCCTGCCAAACCGCCATTAAAGCTCGATCTGGGGAAACGGTTGAGGACAGATTGCCCTCGTGGTGAACCGTGTGTGGTTAAATAAAGGATAGAGGATCGGCTGCAAAGGTTTACTCATTAGGCTTTTAACGTTCTCGGCAACGCCGATTTCTGCGTCGCTTCACTTTGTTTCTCTGCAGGTTTCTCGGTCGCCCTGCCACGATGTGTAAAACCTACAAACACCCACACTCTGTAATAAGTTATTGATTGCATTTCAAAGGTGGTGAAATAAACTGTTATACCAAAATGTGAGCGCCGAGTCAGTTTGTATACGAGGAAAAAACAAAACATTTATTTGCTCTTCTACAGTGGAAAAAATCTGACCTGTACTAAGTACAAATGTTTTTTTTGTATGAAAAAGCCTGAAGCTGCAGTGTAATGAAGTTAAAGATTAAAACGACAAACTGTCTGTGTTAAGCCTCATTGAGGCTGTCTGCAATCTGGGAGAACCCTGCAGCGTTGAGAGCTGCCACCAGGCTCTCCACGGTAGCCTGGGAGCCCTCTCTGTCCTGCCAGGCCACCAGCAGCAGCTTTGCCTGCATGTCGGCGTCTTCGCTATCCGTTTCAATCTCCCGCAACTCCGCTGCCTTCATCTCCAAATGAGAAGCCAGCGTCTTCCATTGAGTACCCAGTTTGGCTGCGATGTCGTCCATCTGCTGGTTCGTCACAGGTTTGCTCTGAATGCTCGGACCTTGAAGAAAGCATACGGGAGCCGCGTGAGAAGAGAGGCTCTGAAAATGGAAATGAGCAAATGCACCGAGGGCAAAATGCTCTAATTACAGATCAAAGTCATATTCGAACTGCATAACATAGTTATAAAGCTATATAAAGAAGCCCCACTTTAAGATCCCTGAATCCCCTGGAAACGTGTGCATAAATTATAACTGACACGCAGGAATCCACATTTTTCCGTCCTCAAACTGGACGTTTCTGGAAAACATCCACGGTGAGGATTTTCCACTAACGTAATCAGTTTCTGGCTCATGGCCGCAGCCTGTGAGCGTGCACTACCTCGATAAGACACAGTACTGCCAAATCCCTCTTTGTGTGGCTATGGGGGACAGCAGCTGATGCTAACACTGTCAGCAGCACTTCTCCATGTTTGCACATAAATAAACTGCTACTCTTTAGATGTAGGTGTCGGATCCACGGCTGACAGAAGAGTATTTATAACTGACTGCTTTTCCATTAAACTATTTATCTTTTTTAACTGAATAAAGCCCGTATTCTGTTGTACACCCGTCACAGAAAGTCTGAACTGAAACTCACTGTCATTGCTGTCTTTGAGAAGGTTATCTCCATTATCGTCGTCGTCTTCTTCTCCCGTCTTGATTTCTTCGGATGGAATGTCCTTCTGCATTGTTCAGGGCACAAACTTGGCATTAATAAGAGTTCATTCCCTTCAAACCGATGACATCTTAACAAAATCCCTCACCGGCAGTTCTTTGGCCAGTTTGCTGACCATGCTGTCTAAGTAGTCGGCCAGACTCTTGAACTTCTGGTTAGTTGGCTGGAAGAAGTGCGGGCTTCTCCTGGACAGCAGCCTCAGAGCTCGCCAGCCGTAGTTGGGGTTGCGCACAACTCTACGGGGATTTACAGGACAGCGGGTGAAGAGGAGCAAAAAAACAGGGACACAACAAAAACAGAAATAGCAAAGAAGGACTCCAGACGTCCAGTGTCGGCTCACTTGTACTCGTCCTCCACCATGTTGGCCGGGTCGGCCTGTTCAATAGCTTCTGCAAAGAACTCATCCAGAGACGGCATGAACTCTCTAAAGGAAATTAAGAAAAACAATTTTTTGACGGAGCACAGAAAACAAAGTCTGGAATCTGCCCCATTGTGCTGTGAGCCACTGACCTGCTGTCGGACTTGCAGGCTTCCATGTTGTCATGGTTCAGGTTCCACAGCCGGGTCAGCTCATCACTAACAACACACAGAAGGGTTTGAATCATGAGGGCAGCGTTCACCTTTTCTTCATACAAAGATTGCAGCTGATCACCTTTTTCTTTTTCTACAGACACCAAACACAATCTGACCAGATAAACCTTTACTATAACGCTGGATGGACACGGTACAACACAACAATCACACTGCCCAATAAGCCGCCCCCCCCACCCCCGGCTGACAACATACTTTCCCATGAAAATCTTGCGGTCTGGCCCTTTTCCAAGGAAGTCTTCTGGCGCTTGTCTCTTCCTGGTGGGTCTTTTGGGTTTGTCGTCGACTGGTCTGTGGAAGAGGAGGACAAAGCGGGACCAGGTGTCATTTGGTCACGCTACTTTAAGCTCACCCTCGGTGTGTGTGGAGCACGTTTCCCGGGCTACCTCTCTTTCACAAAGCTGGGACACCCTTCGTTTTTCCAGCCGTTCCAGTTGTCCTCGGTGTCGAGGATGTGCTGTCAAGAACAAAGAGCATTTGTCACATGACACAGCACGGGCAGGCTTCGCTTGATGACTCGATCATTTCTAAAGCATGGCTCACCTCCACCATGGCGGCAAATTTGTCTCCTTCCGGAGGGATTTCTCGTAGGAGCTGAAAGAAGAGTTACATTTTTTTAATTCTTCAGATGCATTTTATCAATTTTTACCTACAATCAACCGGTTAGAAATCAATTGGAACTTTTCTTTTCTTTTCTTTTATTAAATACTGAATGATCCTTTACACAGAAGTATTCATTTATTTAGTACTTAGCTAAAGTTTTTCTTGTGAAATGTTACTGAAGCTAACAATTTAATTAAGACGGCAAACAAATTAAATACTTCAGGAACGCTGCTCTTTTAACAGTTTCAGTCTTGACTAAAGTTATCTTCGCGGACGCCGCTCTTAATCAAAAACAATTTAACTTTCAACTGACCTGATAAACCAGCTTAGTTGTCTCCTCAATCCAATTGCACTGATCGTCATTCAGAATGCAGCTGGAGCTGCACGAGAAGAAGAACTTTCCATTAACTGATGCTGATTCGGCCTGAAACAGAGCTGCTTTCATGTTCATAGCCGTGCGCTTCACCTTTTGAATTTGACCTGACCCTTCAGGTACTGGAAGAGGATGAGGTACTGCAGCAATATGTGCCGTCTGAAGTTGCCATCGCTGAGCTGCAGGTCCATCAGCTGCAAACGAGGAGCACAAAAACCGTTACGGCTAAATCAAAAATGACAGATGCAGAAGTGATCAGTGAGGTACATATAAATATGCGCCAGGCTTCCACAAAGCTGAAACTCTCACCTTCTCGCTTGTGAGAAACTTGGCGAAGTAAACATGTTCCCCATCAGATGCTCGCATCTCCTCCAGCTTCCTTTTAGACGCCTGCATGTCGTCCAGCTTGTAGCTCTTGAACACTGCCAGGGTTTCGTCTGAGTACTGAGCAGGACAGTTAGTTTGCAGCTGGCATGTCACACGTAGAGCCTGAAGTGGACGCCTCTCTTTTGGGCATTACCTTAAGGAATGTCATCCACGAAAATTTATCATAGCATTGTACTGGATTTCTGAAGTAGTCCTGCAGCGTCCAGAACTTTCTGTACAGGTTGTAATCAATTGGAATGGAACTGCAGGCAAAAGGTCACTCGGTTTTATTTCACGTGAAACGAGCCTGCGGCGTCCTTTGAGACGAGGCTTCCACTCACCATGGCGCAGGTGGTTCTTCCTCTCCCATTTCTCCCTCCTCAACCTCCATACCCTCTTCTTTTTCATCTGGGTTCTATAAACAAGAAAGCATAGAATCAAACTGGAAAATTCTGGCTCAAATCAAAGGAGACCACAAAAGAGGGGAGAACACTTTACCTTCTGGCCGAGATTACTCTCTTGCTCATTTTTGTTGAACACCGTTAGGTTGTCCAGATTGAACTGGCTTTGCAGATTAAGACCTTAAAAAACAAAAACAAACAATAAAATTAACACAATTCAGTATAACCTTACAAATTTAGAATCTGCATCCATCTCTAGCAGAGGAATGGTTGTGCCCACCTGATTTCTCTGATAGGGGGAAGAGACGTGCCAGGAAAAGCTGGATTCGCCCACAAAATACTGTATTCTGAGATTTGGACAGTCGTCTCAGAAGATCTGCACAGAGAAAAGACTTTTTTACTGACAGGCTTCTTTTTGAAAAGTATAGTCTTATGAATCGACAAGGAAAATTGATGTAGCATAAAATAAACACTGTACCATTACACATCCTCAACAGATAGTTCTTCCCTGCTGTGTAAAAGGAGCTCTGAAAGACAGGAAAATTCAATACAGTTCAACAACTATTGTATATAAATTATACTATAAAATTATTTTCCTTCTTCTAGTCCAAAGCTGCTTTTTATTTACCACCGTGGTTATTTACCGATTTCCAGGTGGAAACATTCTCCTCAACAAAAGAGAATATTTTGTCACACAAGTCAAGGGGAAGGCAGTCCAGCACATCTCCCAGAAGGACAAACGGGGTTGTGGCGGAGCAGATACCTGCATGGAAACATGGCAAGAGAAATAAATTAAGTTGGAAGGCATTCTGCTCAGAAGATATCTTTGCAGCTAACATAAGGTTCACATCTCAGAAAAGAATGTGTGTGTGACATGATAATTAAATGGCAGCAGCAACATAAGACAGAGGATGTCTAAGGGAAGTAATCCATACTCTCTTGAACCACGGGGTTAAGCCATGTACTATAGGTCTTGTGGGAAAAATTCACATAGAAAGTGGAAAACAAATAGGCAATTAAAGGATAACTGTCGTCTTCTGTGCTGCAGGGAGAGCAGCAGTTTGTCTGAGTTACAGAAAGCGTTAGAGAGATGTTTCTTAACGCACACAAGCAAGAAATACCCTCAGCCTAAAGTTACAAACACACAAACAAAACAAAAATCAAATGGTTAAAACAGCAAAATAATAACAAATATCCTGGCGATTGGAGAGTCTAAGAAAAGAAAGACGCCCTTTAAACACTTATGGTTGTCATAAAGAATCATCAAAAGGCTCTTTTATGAGTATACACTTTAAAAAGAAAGGTGGAGGAATAATAATAAAAATTTTAAAAAAACAGTGTGAGAAATGTCTGTTTCAGTACCAAAACATACCCTCTGTAACAGCATCAATGCTCAGGTAGATGAGAGACAGGTGGTCATCACAACTCAACCTTTGTTCATCCTACGGAGAAAATGAGTATGACATTTATTAGTATAATTGCTTTCCCAAACAATGCGTGTATACAAACATATGTACAAATATCCTTTTTACATTCTGAGAAATCTGTTCACCAAGAACGCCCCTCAAAGCCTGGTCAAGGGTGGTCTTCTTCTCCGTCTCACTGCAAGACGAAACCAGAGTTACAGGTGGTCTTTGTGCCTTCTGGATACCTCAAACCACATATGAGCACCACTTACTTGCCAGGGATTTGATTAAAAACGCCAATTAAATGTTTGCAGGATTTACTAGGGAAGGTGTCCTTGGCAGCAACCTGTATGTGTTTTAAAAGAAGAAGAAAGAGAACAAGAATTATCAGGTTTGGACGAACCCTTAGGAAAGGTTTACGTTAGCTTAGCTCCCATGGCTACCTCTGAGGAAACAAAACGAGCGCTGAGCTTTACGAACAAACTGCACGAATATTTCAATTACAACACACAATGAAAGTGTAAACTTGACATAAAATATGATCTAAGTCCATAGTTTCCTACCGTGAATTTGTCTTTAGCGTCGGTAAAATTGAATAGGGACGGCGACATCTTTACACTTTAGAAACCGGAACGTCCTCTAAAGTACTTCCGGTGTCTTCGAAAGCGCGTGAAACACCCCTTTGCCTTTCAATTGATGGTTCCCCTCTTCTTTCTTTCTTTCTTTCTTTCTTTCTTTCTTTCTTTCTTTCTTTCTTTCTTTCTTTCTTTCTTTCTTTCTTTCTTTCTTTCTTGATTTGTTTGAACATAAAAACCTCCAATAACCTGATATTTGCGAAATTTGATTAAATTTAGCTACTTATTTTGAAGCGTAGCAAAATATTGTGTCAGGTATATTTAATGATATCCGTAGAATTTAATATAAAATTAATGTTTAGTTTTGGCTGGCCTAAGAAAAATATTACATTTGAACAACAAAACAAAAACAAACAATTATTAGATTAAACCTAACCATGGCATGTAGTAAAATGTATGTACTTTTAGGCAGATTTGACTTTTATAAATGTACATTAATATTTATGGATTTAGCAGACAAGGAAAAATAAGTTAGAATAGAAAGTTAAAGTATCAAGAGGCAATGCATGATAAGTATAGTCAAATTTACACGCAGACCTCAGTTTAAACTAAACTTGAATCAATAAACCCATGGCTTTGATTTAAGATACTCAATAATGCAAGTTTTTGTAATCTTTTGAATTGACATTACAGTTGTTAAATTGCAATATAGATGAGTTAGCACAGATTTTTGAAAAATTTAATTTGACCAGGATTTAGTGATGTTGTTCAGGTCATGTATGGTGACCGTCAGGGTGAACAAAGAACATGCAGGCATGCAAGTCCAATCTCTACCATATGGAGGCAGTATTGCACACCACTTTTTCCAGTAGTGGTCAAAGACCATACACTACTGGACTCCCACAAAAATATATATAGATAGGCTGAATATAACTACCCAGTGAATTATTTCTTTAAATTGCAGATTAAAATAAAACTCCAAGTTTCCTGAAATCTCTATTCCCATATGTTTTTTTTTTTTTTCTGTTTAACTGTTTTAAATTTTAATATTCGTTTCTAAGCCCATGAAATAGAATATATGTAAATAATAAAAAAGTCTAAGATTATATTTTCAGAAGATTTTGTGTGCCTTAAGAAGTTAGTATTTTTGATCGAAACAAAGAAAAGCTCATTATTGGTAGTAAGCGTTTTGAGTAGTTTGCTTCACAGGGGTCACCTATGTCATTTAAATGTGTATTTTGCAAACATCTCTCAGTTAGTGCATATGTCCATTTATTATGAACATAAAACTGAAACTGTACCTTCAGTACTGCTGCAGAGCTTAAAAGACTTTGATAAGATCACCTATTGAACAAAGTCATGCCAGTTATAAGAAGCAATGAACCATAATGTGTTGGCAATCATTAAACTTAAGTTTGACGGAAACAATGCGGAACATGGAAGGGCTGTCTTGACTTTCACAGGTCAGAATCTGTGAAACAGTCTGCAGAAGTGGGATAATCCACTTTGTAGTTCTTTTGAATTTATGGCTTGGCGCTTACTGAGTCATATGAGTGTAGTGCTGATGTGTGTAAAAAAACACTGAAGCTGTGAAATGTATTCATGTACAGTGTCACTTAGAAAGAGCTGAGGGATCATTTTCAACACATCTCTGTTATTTTGTGGCCGTAAAAAAGGGAAGTAAAGAGTGTTTTACCTCGCAGTTTGGAATGGCAGAGTTTTTTTTTTTGTTGAACCAACGTTTTTTGGACATTTGCCAAAACTGATAAAATGGAGAAGGGGAGTGAGCATGGTGAAAACCTCTTGTGTTGTTGATAAGAGCTCAGCAGTTAGTTTGAGGTTAATGGCAAGCAGTCTGAGAGATTGAAACGTTAGTATGAATTTTTGCAGAGTCCACGAAAGGCTGTAAAACAAAATTTCGTGTCATTTTGCGAGAAATGAGTCTCATACTTGCATAATTCTTTGGAACAGGGCTCTAATGCACTAACCTTTCAGTAGATATTACAAGTGGTGTTAGATTTGTTTGAATATAACAGACGGACAAATTGAGCTGGACGGTGGAGTGGTGTGTGGCAACGTTGCCTCACAGCTGGAATGATTTGGGTACTCCAGTTTTCTTCCATGGTCCTAAACACTCATGTCAGGTTAATTGGAGACTCTTGATTGCCTGATTGAGTGAGTGTTTGTGGTTGTCTGTCTCATCTTTCTCTGTGTGGCCCTGTAATGGACCAGTGACCTGTCCAGGGTAGATCAATCCTCTTACCCGAACACAGCTGGAATGATCTCCTGGTCCTAAGCACAACAGAAAAGGGATGCATGGATGGAAAATGACAAATGTCTTCATATTATCACTTCACCATATATTTGGATGTTTTATATGATGTGGTAACAAAGACACAACAAAGGGAAATATTCTTTAAAAATTATATAGTTGACTGGAGTGTTTAGTGTATGTTATTTCCCTTTGTTTTTGTACTCTGAAATAGTTTAATTTCTTATAACATCCAGGCCTTTCAAGAGGCATCAGTCAAATAGGATATATTTGCTCGAGGCTATTTCTGGCTATGAATTAATGCATAACAAACCATGCAGCACAGTGCTTGGACCGAGTCAAACTATAGTAATTAAGTTCATTGCAATAGAGGAGCATGCCACCATGACAGTGGAGCAGTGTGGGTTAGTGATGTGTTTGTAGAAGAGCTCACAGAGAAATGAATGCTATATTTGGTTTTGGTTCGCTTTTCATATTATTTCTTGAGCAGAACAAAAAAGGTAGTCATACCAGTGACTCGCATATTGATTTTCTGAAGTAAAAATAAAGGGAACTGGGTTCTAAAGCTTCGTTCCTCTAAAATCAGCTAAAACCAGGTCAGATCTTCATTCTCAATTGTTTATTTTGTTTTGGGGAATATAATGAGAGGACCACTGAATACTGTCCTGGGCCAAGTTATGGACTCATCAAGTTCAACATGAGAGCCAAATAATTTGATGAACACTCTCAGACAAAAAGACTGAAGAGTAACAGAAAGAGCTTTGTCTGTGTTGTTGGAGGCAAACTTCAAAACAAGAGGCCAAACACAATGCTCTGACCCACAAGGTTAAACACACAAAGGAAGGAGATTTTGGACTGCCCGCAGTCACATGACTGGCCCCAAGTTTCCTCCATAAACGATAAGATAAATAGATGAGCATGTCAAGAAGAATCTCCTTATCATAAAAGGGAGTCAGGCTCATTTATGGGACTGAAATGAAAGTGTGTGTTAGTTTTTGAAACACATGCCGAGTCTGGGCTACACGATGCATCAGCAGAGTGTGGACTCCTGCTTCTAATTTCCACTCTCTGTTGGGGATTTTACTTTGTGTGGAGTTTAAAATCATTTGATGGCTATTCAATAATTAGCGAATGGTGCGGGAAACATAAAATATCCCAGATCTATAAAAAGAGACGTGACAGAGGCTCTGTACACAAATGGAGAATTTACATCCTTCTAACGCTGTTCTATAGGAAATCTCCACATAGTCATATTTTGTCTAACTGTGCTTTTTCAAAACAAAGACACTGAAAACAGAAACTGTGCTCAAAACTCTTTATTAATAGACACCCATTTGTAATCTGCACATATTATGTAAAGCAATACCTGCGAAAAAAGTAGAAGTTGCATTGAAGTGCTGACTAACTAAAGCTAAGCGGTTTCCTTTTGTTCATTGCTTTGGCCACTGACTTGACCCCGTGCGATTGCCGTCCTCTGCAATACGTTCAACTGAACTGCTTTCTTCATCTGGACCATTACGCAAGATGAGCATTCGAGTTCTGAAGTCACGTGCTCGCGGATACAGGAGGACATCGTAGATAAAAGATGCTGCTGCACCCCCACACATTGGACCTAGCCAGTACACCTGCAAAGAAAACAGCAGTAAGCTACAATTGACCAATTATGGTAGACAATATAAATGGCTCTCTGTCAAAGCCTTTATCTGCCCGCTGACCCAGTGGTCTTCCATCCTTCCAAGTACCACAGCTGGTCCAAAGGATCGAGCAGGGTTAATACCACAGCCTGTAAATCCCATCTGTAAGTGACAACACGTAAAGCATATTAGTTACATAGTTAAGACCTTGTAGTCCCATTTTCCTCATACAATGTTTTCTGTGCTGACAAATCTTTCACCTTCAGTTTTTGTCAAATCAACCTCAAAGGTGGAGCTCTGCAGCAATTCTAATTTTCTGATGTGGTGAACTACATCAAACACTGTTTGAGAAAAAAATCATCCTGGTAAATGTTATCATAGGTTGTTCATTAGTGACCTAATCAATTAATTTACTGGCTTTGCTTTGTTTGTACCTCTTCCAGTGGAAAGTCGCAGCTTGCTAGCTCCTTTTTGCTGCTTTGCACTAAATCTAATGTGATACTTATTCAGCTGATTTTGCAAGTGTGACTTGTTACACCCTCTTCCTGAGGTGCTGGCATGACATCCGTGCAGACAATGCAGAATTATATAATGTTGCAGTGAGGGGAAAGTCTTAAATCGTGACCACCCATGTCTCAACATAAGGGGAACTGCGCTCGTGCAGAAAATCTGTAGGCTGTTTTCTGTAACTGTAGTCTTCAAAAATCCAAATCTTTTTTGTTTTTTTAATTCTCATGCAAAAACACTGCAAAAAGATTCAGGCAAGCTGTTTTGTTGACAGTTTTCACAGAATAGAGCGTTTATTTAGTCTTCCCATCCCATCCATCCATCCATTTTCTGAACCTTCCATCCATCCATTATCGCAACCGCCTATTCCAAATGGGACTGGTCGCTAGGGACTGGAGCCTATCCCAGTATTCATTGGTTGAGAGGCTGGGTACACCCTGGACGTTCTGCCAGTCTATCACAGGGCCACACATATGGACAAAAAAGAATAACAACCATGCACTCTCAGACTGACTCCTGAGGGCGATTTGGAATGTCCAATCAACCTAACATGCAGGATAGGTTGGGACGGTGGGAGGAAGCCGGAGAACCCGGAGAGAACCCACGCCCTCTAGTCATCCCAATATCAGATAAAACACTGTTTTGTACCATGAAGGTATGCATCACTTTTGAAATGATAGAATTGACAACGTCACCACAAGTCCTATAACTATATAAAGGTCCTCCATAACACCAAAGGGGAAAGAAATTAAGTCGAAGTACACTGATATTTACTTACAGCCGCAAAGTGTCCAACTCCCACTGACAGACCAATAGCTAGTGGCGCAGAGCCTTTCACGTCATTTCGTCTGCTATCAGTCACTGCTATAACACACAGAACAAGCTGAAGAGTGGCTAGGAACTCGATGACAAATCCGGCACTTTGATTCACTGTTAGCTGCAAAACACAAGCATAGAATACATGGTCATTACATGTTGTTTCACCCGAGATCTCTTCTAATGTCGTGTGATTTTTTATAGTTGGTCAATGGAGCTGATGATGCTATTCATCCAAAACCTATACAAGGAGTCACTTTACCCTCAAAACTGCTAACTTTGTCCTGATAAAATCAAAAACCTGCACAGTTACCTAAAAATCAGACATTGCCGTTTAGTATTTACTTTAACAAGAAAAATATATGTATATGATATAGATTGATGGTTCAAGTTTGAGGACAGTTCAATATTTTAAAATGAATTTTTAGATATTACCTGAGCAAACAAGGAATTCAAATGGAATTGAAGTCTGTGGTTATACGTTTATAACACAGTAATTGTCTCATTAAATAACTGTAAGTGAAGCCTTACCTTATTGATGCCAAGAGATTGGCCAGGTTTATAACTATTCACGATGGCACTGGCTGCAACAGCTCCAAGCATCTGAGCCAGTATGTAGCACACACATCTAAGTGCACTGATCTGACAGCTGAACAACAGGCCCAAAGTCACTGCAGGGTTCAGATGTGCTCCGCTTATATGCCCTAAACTCTGAGCCAGCGTGGCTATGGCCAGAGCAAAGGCCAGAGAGATATTCACCACTGGATTGTCTTTAAACTGGTTTGTTCCAGTGATAGCTGACAGACCAATGAATATGAACAGCAGCATTCCTATGAATTCTGCCGCTACAGCTCTCCAGAACAACCAGCTCTTAACCTCTGCCATCTTTGCTTCCAAAGTGTCTGACCCGTTCAACTAAGATGTAAGCATTTCAGTACTTATAGTAAAGTGGTTTTAGGCGCAAAGGGGGAGGAGAAGAGAGATGGAAGAAGGAACAGGAAGAAGATGTGCTGCACAAGCTTTCATGTCATGTATTTGAGCATCAGAGAGAACGATCAAGTTCTTTATATTGAAAAAACCATCTGGTTTCATACATTGTTACAATGTTTTTTTTTCCATTCAGACACCAGAGACTTAGAGCTCTTTTGATCATGGTACATCCTAAATATCCTCCAGAAGGGGCTCAGTTCTATTTTCCTACACTGAGCCACAGCAGAGCAATTCTCTTGTCTTTTCTCAGAGGAGCTAATCTTTGGATGTCAGCAGGTACTTATACTGAAGCATTGCCACCACACTGGCACACGTTGGTCCGGCCCAGAACACCTGAAACACTGCACAGCAGGATAAATATTCCCAATGTGTGCAATAGAAATGACTTACAATATCTAATATTCTGCTCAATGCCCAATGAGCCCAGAAAGACTCCTGAATAACTGCAGGTTAGATTGAGCTGGTAACTGCATTCCGGAAAGCTGATTTGTAAACTAGATGAGGAAAACAGTGCTTGATTTTCTGGCTGTACGTCAGCAGATTACATGAAAGGCTGAATTCAAGCCATTCTATTGTGTCAGACCTCAGTAAGATGGAGGAACCATCTGCCAAATTAATGACAGAGGAAATAAAGGAATGTTTTCATTGACTCACCCCAGTAAGGTGTCCAAGCCCTGCAGAGAGTCAAATCATCAGAGGTGCAAGCTTGGAAAACATTGTGCCTTTTGTCTGTGAGAGTGAACACACACACACAGGATCAGCTGGAGGGTTTGCACTCAGTCCAAGCAAAAGCCTTGAGGAGGGCTGACTCTTATGAGGTGCAGACCGAAAAATGAAAATAAAAAAGTAAATTAGCATTTTCTATCCAAGTGGCATATGGTAATTTGCTGTTTGTCCTTCACCTCAGTCAAATCAGTTTAAGAAAAATCATAAAAACCAACAGCCTAAACGCCAGTGGCTTTAAAAGTCTCTCCTCAGCTCCTCATTCAAAATTAGGAATGCTGCACAAATCCCGTTATTTGCAGCATTTGTATGAATGATTCAGTGCTTTAATCACTGAAGAGGTCAGCAGAAGCTTTCATCCTATATAATCCCCAAAGGGAAAAATTTAACTTTTTTGTGCAAAGTATGCACATTTCAGTAAATATATTTGACATTTAAATAAAACAAGTAATCTTAGTAGGTAGTAAATGATGCAGTCAGATTAGAACACAGAAAACTAGAGCAAGCAGACATGATTATAATGAACATGGAGCATTTCTCAAGTAAATTGGAGGCCCATGGGTCCATTCTCACCTTGTTAATACCAAGTGAGACATATACACTGGAGCTACCAGCCAAGGCACCCAGCCTCTTGGCAGTATTTTTGAAGAAGCCTGCCATACACCAAGCTCCGGGTGATAACACAATTCAGGTGAGTGTCACTAATGCGAACTACGCTCTGAGACACCTCCGCCAAACGAAAGGTGAGTGCCACTTCTACATCAAGGTAAGAACTGCTTTTAGCCCCTTATTACAGCACAAAGGTCAATGAAAAGACAATCACTTACAGAACTTCCACTTAGAATGCCCACTTTTTCATTGCTACACGGTCGTTCAGGCAATGTCATTTCTAACAGATCTTATGTGGCATTTGCATGATGGACCATAAACTGAAGAGCAAAAAACTGGTTCCGCCAGCCACAGCAGCAGGGCACGCTGTGAGTAACATTCACCAGCACCCATCGAGTGAGTGCCAATCCGTACTGCTCAGGAACTGCTTAAAGATTTGCCTTTCAAGCACACAGAATGACCTCGACGTCTCCTACTCTGTTTGGTACTTTTCCAGTTCAGCTGAAGGCGGACCTAGTTTTTACTGCTGTTCACAGCTCAGTTGAGACCACAGCAAACTGTTACAGTGAAGTGATAGCCAAGTGGAACTAAATGCAAAGTACAAAAAAAGTTTTTAATAAATGATATATAATGTTTTTGGGCTTGAGAGGAAATACGTTTTAATACATTACCGCAAACTAACGACCTGACCCATGAATATCCGGTATAGCAAATGGATGAATGAATGGATTGTTATGAGATGAAAAATAGTGGCACATATTTTCAATATTTTGAATTAGTTTGAGTATAAATTAAATTATAAGTGCTCAGTTATCTTTTCAAGATTCGTACAACTGTCCTAAATCCAAAGCTGTTTTGTGTGAAGGCCACACTCACTGCTTGAGCTGCAACAAATGGTTTTCCTGTCTTTCAGTCTACTTTATGTTTTGTCCACTTTTAGATAACTTATTCTATTCTAAGCTTTTGTCATGTCGGGCTCATGGCATTGAAGTTAACATCAGTCATTTGCCACTGTGAAGGAAATGGGACCTTTTGAATTTATGACAAGGAAACCATGCTCCCATTCTGCTTTTCTTTGTGAAAGAACTGGCAGGTTAAAGGGTCACGCTGCCTCTCGTCTTCCTCTCTGAAAGAAGAATGATAAACCTTTCAAACATTACCCTTGTCTTGGGAGGTTCTGATCTACATCAGCATTTTTTTTAATACAACAAATATGGCATTCCTTTCACTTTTTTTTTGCATGCCCTATGATTTAGTTTTTTCCCCCTCTTGTTTCAACAAGATCCCAGGTAGTATTTCTGTTGTCTAACCTCAAATAGTTTAATTCAAATTAGCTGGACAAGTACATGAAAATATATAATTTTTCGCAAGAATATAAATAATACCATAAGTGAAAGATTATGGGAAGGACAAAATAATCACAGCAAGAAAGATAATAAGTAATAAAAACAAGAGAAAAAATGTGAAGCATAAGTAGTGAATCAGTGCTTAACAACTTGCAACAGGAACAAAGACGATACTCTCAAACCCTGCCGAACATAATTCAAACAATAAAATACTGCAACATCAAATGATCTTAAAAAAAAACTTTTTAATACATTTCTGGAATGCAGAAATATTGCTGTTTCACTCATATCACTCACTCATATTTCATATAATGGAAGGTGTATTCTGTGTAGGAGGGAGTGATTCAGAGCAAGGGCCCATAAAATTTAGAGCCTTCAAAGATTTTTTCTCATCTCTCAACAGTAATTATATGTCAAGCCAGCAAGAAGTTCCTCTGTCAAAAGTATTAGAATTTTTTTTTTTAAATTTGGTTGAATATTCCTAACTAAATTGAACTCAAACTAACTGAAATTTCCCCATCATATGGATTGTTCCTCAAGAAATATAAAAGAGAGAAACAGTGATGAAATTAGAAAATAAATAATTGGCATCAGCAATGGCCAGAGACCAATGTATTCAAAATAATTTTTAATGGCACCTTGTATTTTCTGTCAGTCAGGACTTACAAGCCAGATCTATATGCAATAAACCAAGAGCCATACACGTACTGTAAACCCAACCTGGAAATGATACATTCCTAAAACTGAACAACTTCGATGAAAACGTATAATTGAGAAGAGTGAAATGGTTCTCAGTCTGATTATTGCTCATTTTTCGACCCTTACAAACTTGACAAAAAATATCTGCGGTGCTCCAAACACAAAACACATCTGTGTGTGATATGAATTATGTGGTTGAGCCATCCAAACTTGTCTTGATCCTGTGCCAGAAGGAGAACCAATTCATATGCAAACCCACCACCTACCCAAAACGTTGTCGTGCTCTGATTCTGAGATGTAAATAGGACAAAAGTGAAACTCACCCGCAAATCTAGTCTTCCAGAAGCATGATTGCCATCTAGATGTAATACGATTTAACTGATGATTTAACTCTAGACTGTTAAATCATGCAGAGATGGAAACAAGTCAAGTATATAACCAATGAAAATGCTTGTCATTTGAGCAGAGTGAAATTGTACTTACAATTTGAAAGGTTTTACCTCTCAGATGCCAAAGTAAGAGGACAATATGAGATTGTTAATGGGGAAAGCAACAAGTAACAAGTATGACCATAAAAAACACTCCAAAAAATGTTGTTTAGTTTATCCATCTGAAGCAGTAAATCCAGAATTCAAGACAAAAGTTGACTGTAGAGATTATATCCCAGTTTGCAGTTGTTCTTTAAAGGAAAGACTGCCACTGAGCACCGGTAGGTTTCTTTAAATACAGCTCCTTATCACATATTGTCTAATTATCACACAATTCCAAGCAGAACTTTCGCAGAACTGTTAGTGATCCATTGCCTCCCATGTTTACCTTTACAGCTGTGTAATAGAGAAATGATGTAGAGGAAAATAAAGTAACAATCAGTAACACTGCTACACATATTACACATAGTATATTCACAGGTAACCTGATTTACACCAGTTATATACATTTCTTTAACCCCCTGCAAGATAAAATAACTTTATGAGCATACAGGATACAGAGAGGAGGAGTCAAACAAACAAAATTCCATGAAACGGGTTGTAGAGATTTCAGGAAAACTATAACTTCCAGCTGAGGTGCTATTACATTTATGACTTGAAATTCTGAGAAACCTGACCAGGAAAAGAAAAACATTTTTTAAGAGTTGTTGCCATTGTGAATCACATTTCTCAAATGGTACAGCAATCTTGCTCGCCTGAAATTTTACAGGATCTATAAACTTCAAAACATTTTGATGGCCAGACAGGGAGAGGGAGCAGAGACAAACTGAAGGAAGAACAGGCTGCTGAAGGGAGGGCAGTCAATACACATCCTCAACAAATATCTCAGTCAAACAGGGAAACATAGCGGTGGAAACTGGGAGGCTTCCTGAACCACAAAGCTTCAACAAAAAGACTGAAGTCACCCAGCACAGGCATGTGAATCAAAGCTCTCTCTATATGGTTTAAATATGTTAACCACGAGCTGAGCGTTATTTTATTAATCACCCTGACATTTGGATCTAGAACACAGGAATAATCTGTCTCATGGATCTGAACAAATATGTACATATGACAGAGATTAGAGACTATCATAATTCCATTTGTCTTATTTGTATGTGATGATGTCATAACCAAATAAACAACTCAGTGACTTAATTAAATGTATTTAAGGTAAACACAAGTTACATAGTCAAAACCTGCTTCTTATTTGGAATAAACACAGCGTAACTAACAAGAGAATTAAGAACAGGTGAGCTAGCAACCTGTGCCTGTCAATAGTAGGAAGGGCTGACATTACTGTAGGCTAGTGAAAGGATCAGATCCAATTAGATCACTCTGATCACTTTCAGAGTTATTCTGCCTGCATTGTCCCAGCTTTGTGCTGCGACACATTTAAGGACCGATCCAACATCCTCTGTTCATTTGTAGTTCATTTCCAGACCAGGCCGGGTTGGCTGAGACCCTATAAAATGACATTGTTGGTCTTTTCAGGTTTTTCTTCATCCTGTTGAATTTAGAACAAAGAAGTCTTCTAATCTAAAATTAATTTCAAGAGTTTTTTCTGGCTCATAGGCAGCAGCTACATCCACACATATGACACTCATACTTTTAGATGTAAATGTTACATAACATATTCAAAGATGCAATGGTGTAGTTATGGTCCACTACATTTTCACATTCAAGCAGACTTTTTGGTTTAATGCTTCAGCAGATGAACATGCATGTTTTTATTGTAGGGTCACATTGGGGCTGGAACCTCATCCCAGCGGTTGGGCGAGAGGCGGTGTATACCTTGGTCGATCACAGGGCCACATTCGAGACACACAACCACACACACACAACCACACACACTAACATTACCGCCCAGGGGCTAATTTAGAGTTATCAATCAACCTAACATGCATGTTCTGGGACAGTGAGAGGAAGCTGGAGTGCCATGAGGGAACCCACCTAGACACAGGGTGAACGTGCAAACTAATCACACTCCCGGTCCGCTAACAATTCAAGCCCTCTTGCTGTGAGGCCACGGTATGCACATACTCTCAAATGCTTAGCTCAAATTTTGGGTGTGGGAAAACCTCGGTGACAGATGTTCGGCAGAACAGTGAATCATGCTCCCAGACGTTTTTTTAATGACTGCTTGGCAAAATCACAACTGTAAATGAGCTAAGTTTGTATTATTGAGAAATTCTTCTATGTAATAAATGTATTATTTTCCGAAATGTGGTGTGATTCTTTAATTCTGTAGAACTTGGTGAAACATATTCGTGCAAAATGGATGTCTTATGATGAACTGCAGATCGAACATCAGAGCTGGTGTGAACTTTTTATGCCTTTTCAATAAATAAAAAAGGTTTCACTTTTTTTTGTATTGCACCAAATAAAAAATCTCTAAAGTGTTATATGGTCATTACAATCAATTATAATATCAATCATAACCCTATTTCATTCTGAGAAAATCATATTCTGTTCAAATTAAATTGGAATCCAAGTAAATTTTATACATACAATATTAATAAAACAGAAGAAATGTCTATTTCATGTTTGCATTTAAACAATTAGCTTTTTACCTAAGAGTCAAACCAAACAGGCAATGCACCCAAGTGTACAAACAACAACAGGTTGACAAAGTCAACCGACAAACAGGTTTACTTTTGTGGCAAACCACTGTGGCAGACCACTCAATGCATTAAAGCTCATAATTTACAGGTTGACTTCAAAGTGGTTTGACTGTTACAACCTGCTGTTTAACCAGCAAACATTACAGTGTCATACAATATTCTAATCATTTGGCATTGTCTTTATCAGTGTGTGAATACTATATTTGATTGAATATTTTGGATGGTTTGCTTTTCTTCAGCTGAAAGAATGTCAAGGCTTTTATTCTATAGTTATAGTTATAGTATAGTATATATAGTTATAGTTATGAACTTTAGGAGTCAAATGCCTGACATGTCAATGGCGAAGTTAAAAGATAATAACTGACAAAACAGGTAAAGGCTTCACATCAAGTGTTTTATTTTACTTAAAAAAGTGAAAGACATTTGGGTGCACACAAAACATATCATCCATCTGATGTAAGAAGTGACTTTGATACATAGAAATATACACAAAAAAAAGGCTCAAGACAGAATACTGATATGGGAAAAAAGACATTCACCACACTGCTTCGTTAAGACTTTCAACTCCAACTTGTATGCCTGAGAAGCAGTTTGGATCAAAAGTATGTGCTGGGTCAATGTCAGGAGTGAGTTAGAAAACACAAGCTGACCCGTAGACAACAATCCTCATTGGTATTTTACACAACACAAAAATGCTAACATCCGCTAAGTTTGAGAGCTATTCTTAGTATTGAATTTGTCTATTCATTTTTAAACAAGATTAAAGTCATATACATTGACATTAGGTGTTTGTAGCTTCAGCTACTTCGATGTCATTTCCACAGTCGTGGCATCGTTGCCTCCGTTTACATCGTAGTCGCCCACTGGACCACTGACCAGGACCTTCATACGCTCAGGGAAGTCATCAAATTTGGGTGAGAGCAAGAAATCGTGTATGAGAGCCGCTGCAACACCACCGCACATTGGACCCACCCAGTACACCTACAAGAGATAAACCTGATTAGCCTCAAACCACTATCGCACAAAGACGAAAACTGAATGGAACACATATTTCAGACAAGTTCAAAAGGTGTTTTTTTTGTCAATATCTCATACGGGCTGAGATACGGATAAAAAAACAATGGGGAATGACTGATTAACATGTGAATTAATGTGTAATGGAGTCATCTGTTAGGATGTTACTGAATTATTGAAGCTTCACGTATAATGCACACAAAGTGTTATTTGAGGTATGCATGGAGTGCTTGTATGCTTCTCTTCTTACATACCCAGTGGTTTGTGAAATCGTTCAGGATCAAAGCAGGGCCAAAGGAGCGAGCAGGATTGATTCCACAGCCTGTGTAGCTGATCTGTAATCACCAACAGAGACAGAATAAGAGAATATCTTTAGCTACATGGTCTGGTGGTATAGTAAAACCAGACTGGAGTCAATTCTTTTGCTCTGTGAGCAATGCTTTGTTGACTCCGCGAATTAAAATGCTCTGCACATAGCCCTGGATAAACATCACTTCGTTTTGGGGATGATTGTAAGATACAACTTACAGCTGCCAAATGTCCCAGGCACACCGAGAGGCCAATGGCCAGGGGTGCTGAGCCTGTGACATCACGCCGCCTTTTATCAGTGACTGCAATGACACACAGAACCAGCTGGAAGGTTGCCAGTAGCTCGATGCCCACGCCTTGGCTGGGAGTGACACCGTTGAGCTGCAAGAGTTAGGAAGAATTGAAAAACAACACTGTCAGTGCATGTCATTACGATGGATAGTTTCCCATCACAGCCATTTCCCATTTAGCAGCCGCTGGCATTGCTCCACTTGTCTGACACCAATTTGGCAAGGATGCCCGAATGGGACATGGTTTATTCAGTTAGGAGTTATCAACTTTTGCCAGTCTCTTGCCGTCTAGTAAGATGAAAGCTCTAGTGACTCATTACAAACAGATTAAGGCTCTCTTTTCTTTTTTGCAGAGCCTAAATTAATCAAACAATTGACAGCAAATATCAAGTGGCTTACACTGCTCTCTCTGCACACTTGCATTTCCATATCCTGCAGCTGTTTTGTGCGGTGTGTTGTGCTTTAATTAAATGCCATCACTTCCCGACAAAAGGTGGCCTCAAACTTAGCCAAGAAAAAGATCCACAGCGCCACGTTTCACTTAAGCCGCTATTTACTCACAGCAACATATCAATCTGCATCCGATTTTTGTGTGGTATTTTGGAAGAACTTCATTTAAATATCACACAGTATGTCTAAAAGTTGTGAAAAGAACAGTGCAATGGCAAGTTTTACTTACAGAATTAAGTCCCAGCGCAGCCGTGCTGTTTGGGCGTGTTCCATACACAATACCACTGGCCAGGGCTGAACCCAGCATCTGAGCCACAATGTACATGACTGCCTTTAAAACACTGATCTGGCAGCTGGCAAGCATCCCAAGGGTCACTGCAGGGTTTAGGTGGGCTCCACTGATGTGTCCTAAGCTTTGGGCCAGCGTGGCAATGGCTAGTCCAAAGGCCAGAGACACCTTCACCTCCTGGTCTGGATTTGTGTTGTTACTGTTCCCGATAGCTGTGGAGATGCTGAGAAAAATGAAAAGGGTCATGCCAACAAATTCGGCCAGGACGGCCCTCCAGAAATCCTTGCTCTTGAACTCTCTCATGATGGTTGCTGCTTGGCTGGGAGTTTAGGCTGATCCTCTGCAAAGTGTGAGAACTCGTAAACAACAGCAACAGGCTGCATATATAAGGTCTGTGCTGATAATGGTCAGTGGGCGGGCTTTGAAAAAACTGAAAGAGACGGCCACACTGAATTAATGAGAAGTCCAAAAGACTGGTCTCTGACATCCCTCCCTCTGCTTCCTCACCCTCCCTCCCACTCTTGCTGTCCTCCAGCCCCTCTTCCACCACGTCCCTTCGCTACACTCTCTGTTCTTTGAACTTTAAATGAGTCAGACAGGTCTTTAAATAGCCAGTTCCAAAGGTAAAACATTTTCTCATATAAGAACATACAGATCTACATTTCAACTATTTAAGTAGATTTTACAATCGGAAAATACTTTAGCTATAATGAATGGGATTGCATACATTTTAAGTTCAACTTAGCCAATTAATCATTATGCTTGTAACATTTTTAGTCGCATAATTTTGTTATTTACTCCCGTGGACTCATAAGCATCATTTGTAACACATAAAGGAGTACTACAGAAAAGACAGACTACTCCCAGCCACAAATTTCAGACCTCACCCACCTCTTTACTGACCAGGGTTTCTGTTTTTTTCAAACCATACAAACAACATCATACTTTCCAGTTCTAAGTTACCCTATAAGACAAAATAAGTAAAAGCGTGGACTTGTTATCAATACGAAGAGAAAAAAGAGGGATTTTTATTCCTGATGGATATAGTAACAGTAATTCATTAACTGGGAGGATGTTTTCGACATGATTATGAGTTGTACTGTTGAGCAAGGAGTGAAACATCAACTTTGTGAAACGAGCTGCCAGCTGCACATGGCCTCTAACTTGTTTCTGCTTTACCAGACAGCTGATGGTCCTAATGTGCATTCCCTGAAGCGGGTATACTGTCCAAATTAGTTGTATTTTGTCGTCAATTCTGCGCCTAATGTTTTGCAAAACAACAGCAAAACTAAAATAACTGCCTTAGCACGTGAGATTAGTTCTATCTGTCTTTTTCTTATCACCTGCTTTCTCCACTGCTCTTCCATTTACAACAACTAACAATGACTGACTCACTATAGAAATGAAAGGAAGAATTAAGTCGAAATTTATGACATTTGTATTATTTCAATAGAGGAAAATAATTATTCCTTACTAGTGCAAATTTTTTAATCAACATTTTTTCATGCCCATAAATCTTAATCCCCTGAAACAGTTTTATCCCTGTTTACCAAAACTCTTAGTTCTGATCAATGTAATGTCAATCTTGAAATATTGTCTTTATACTCAATTTTATGGTTATCTGTGCATTATCAACAAAAAGAGGATGGAAAGTACTCTGTCCTTAAACAAATGTATGACTTTTTAATTATTAACTCTGTACTCTCACAGGCTTGGCTCAAATTTAGTACATGGGGAAGGTCACAGAGGACAGAGCCATACGCAATACCGTCACTGAAAGATTTGCAGAGCTGTGTGTGAATCATGCCTTCAGGCCTTCATGACTAAGGTTTTCGAAAACGCAGACAAGCAAATTCTGCATTTTGGAGAAATTATCCCATGAACATGAGGTTTATCATTCTGTAAATATCTTTTGCGACATCTGCCAAAGCTGATGTACATCGATGAACTGGTGACCAATCATCAGAGCTGACATGAAAGCTGTTCATACCCTACGAACTAAATCATTTAATTTCAGTTTTACTTAAATGACTTTTCGATTCGATCCTTAGCACCTATAAGATGCAAAAAATAGCACTAAAAAGAAAATTTGTCCATTATACTGATGCACACAGTAGATAATAGTTAAGATGTTTATGTGCCAAAAGGAGGCAACTAGGTGTATGGCTTTAATATTCTAAAATAATTTTTAACAATAAACCCTGAGCTCACAGTTTCTTTATGTCCCCTTGAGTGTACTTTGTGTCCTAGGTGCATGCTCACTGGATTTCAAGCAGTCCAGCATAAAAGAGAACAGTTTAATCATTTATCACATCACAGTAATGTGAAGACTAATGAAGCACATACTTATGCTTAAGCCTTTTGCTGCAAAGTCATTTTGAATTTTGAGCTCAATGTGTCTGTCAAAAAAGAAATCCACTAAGGTTGACTGACTATGACAATTAAGACAACTTAGAAGCAGCAAACCTTTTAAATAATAAGGCCACCCAAAACTAATCCAACCCACAGGCAGCAGCTCGTACTTGGATAGGGAATGATGAGGCTGAAGCCTCACTGGGTGAAAATGTCAGTGTCCAGGTCTGTGAAATCCCTGCTCATGATTTAAATGAACCACTTTCTGAACTAGGGAAAGTGTGTCTGTTGCTGTGTCTTGTCTGGAAAATGTATGATCCTGGCACTCTGCTGTGAGCAGAAATCCCCGCCGAGCTACAATTTTCAGATCAGGGCACTGGGACAGTGCTCATTATTTTTTTAAATTCCAGATACTGCAGATCACGCGTCCGCCAGCGTCCAGAGCACGGTTTTGCTGCTTGCATTTGAATTTTGCCAACCTGAACACTGCTGACAACTAGTACACTGAAGCCAGCAACCTGCTGGACAGTACTGAACGGTTTGTATTTCAGTACTTAATTTGCTCAAATCTAAGCATCACGGTAAGACAAAACTAAAAGTTGTCTAAAGACAGACTAATTATATGATAAAATCTTATTTAGTAAAGCAGAAAGAAGATACCATACGCTAACATAAATTTATTTTTTTCAATGTCAGCTCTTGTCACTGAAATACAATGTAGCAGTGCTAACAGCAGCCTGCTAAGGTCAACATGAAGCTAAACGATTATAGCAGATTCTGATTAATATTAATGTAAAGTAAAAATTTTATATTACACTCAAACTTTTATGAATGTGTACTACATTTAATCATTTAAAATCATAATTAAACTGCATGGACCAGGGTAATTTATTAAAGCATCACATTGTCAGTTATTTCAATATCAAGGATATTAAAGAAAAATAAAACCTTAGTTTTGAAAGTGATAATATCGTTTTACAGTATATCAGCGTTAGCCAAGACAATAACTGGAAAACATTTGAAAAATGTAGCACACAAACAAAACTGTTTTTCCTCCATATCATTGTTTGATGGAGGCTTTCCCTGTATCAGAAGAGTGTCAGGAATGTATTTACTGAGTGCATGACCTCCCAGAAATGTTGAAAGATCTGTTTGAATACCACCTTTTTGGATTCTGGTAAATGACGTGGATGTTTTGTTAGCATGACTATGTATAACACTGGTATACCAGCTGACCTATACAGCTTGCAAAGAATAACTTTCTCATTGCATTTCTATTTGTTATGACAGTTGAACAGGCAAGCACGGCCATTTAAATCAAATAACTCAAGTTCAGAACTTGACGAAGTGAGCATTTTGCCTTAACTTCATTACTGTTTACCCGATACATCATACCCACACTGGAGCAAAGTTCCAGGACATCTGTAGCTTGAGTATGTAGCTCATAGCTCAGTTGAGGAATGAAGCTGTAATGGAAGTATTAAATTACATTTGTGCATGCAGGAGTGGTGAAAGTTTGCTATTTTCATCACCAGAGGAGTAGGCTGCAGCAGCAGGAGAATCAAATGAGGTGGGATATTGATCTATGCTACACTCTGGAGAGCCGGGCATTAAACAAGCCCCTCTCAGGAGGTCTAACCGCTTTGTAATCTAGAAAAGTTCCAGTATGGTTAGTAAAGATTTCACAGTTTGTAAGATTAGTTATATGTACATATATATTGTATACATCAGTCAGTTAAACTGTATGGTTAATAAAGAGGTGTTTCCTCATTGAATTCTTGAGTAGTAGTCTTTTAGTCCTCATTCAACTGTAAATCACTTAAAACCAAAGATAGAAAACATGCGTTTACAAAGATTAAACATCAAAATGAGTAATTAATCAAAAACAGTTTATATATTTTGAATGCAGAAGATTTTTGGTGTGGACCAGCTTTAAACTTTGGCAAAAACAGTGCAAAACATTTTAAGATTAACTAATCAATTGTGCTACGCAATTTCAGAAATCTTCCACAGTTTACGGTAGGATGTCTTATCTATGTGAGTGCATTTTTCACACTTTCAGAACTTGACAGGTTTACTTCTCCTAACAGCAGGTCAAATATCTACTGGAGACTGTGTAGGGATGTCACTTCAGACTTAACTGTGAAATATTCAGGAAATATATAGAAATGTATGGAAACTGTACAAAACTGTCAAAGTTGAACAAAGCAAAAAGCCACGTGAAAATGATATATAAGTATGTAAGTATGTATGTATGTATGTATGCATGTTGTATGTACTGTATGTGTGTATGTATGTATGATGTTGGTGCTCTGAAACCTTTCAAATCTTCTGTTAATGGAACTGACAGCACAAGTAAATGTCAAAGGGAGGTGGAGGTCATGGTCGGGTTGATCATCACATCACATTTTGTTTAGGTTCAGAGGTTGCACATACCAGAAGAGATGACTCTGATATTGTCATCGTAAAAGCAGAAGGTACATGTGGTCAAAGATAATTGTTAAAGTGCTGAAGACAGAAGACTGACAACTGAGTTGCAGAAAGTGATAAATTGTATACTCTATTTGAAATTTAGAACCAGGAATTGGGGTATTTTCTGCTGTTTGCTTTAACATTGCAGAGTAGAATTTTTTGGGCAATATAAAAGACAATGAAAAAGAAAACACAATACATTTACTAGTTATTCAGTTACTAGTAAAGACACATTTTAATGTTATTGAATATAAAACATGTCTAATTATTTTCCCTTTCTAATTGCACCTACCAGTGCTGTTCGAAGTGTTGCAATATATTGACAAGGGAAAGACAGAATCAAACTCATTCTTAGAGTTTGGTGGGAAACCGGCGTGTTGAACAAACAGAATGAAACATTGAAGGTTGTGGGGGAATGGACAACACAGAAAACCAGTGACCTGCAAAAGTGTTTCTGACAGTGAGGAACTCATTTTGCTAATTGGTCAAACAAATCTAATTATAGTTTGGTAACAATGTGTTTTTGCCTCCAAATGAAACATTCTTAAAAGTAATTTACATCATTGCATGCTCCATTTTATCTGGCAATTGTCATTTTAAGAGGAGACATATAAAAACCAAACAAATAATAAT